TGCAGGGCTTCGGTTTTGGAGGGTGTTAGGGGGGATGAGGAGTCATGATGAGGAGGTCAAATTCCAAACTCGACTCGACTGGTATGGGCTCGAAAAGAATCTTGACGCGCTTGAATTCTGTTTGATGCATGTAGTACTTATACATTGTTTTTGTATCCCTTTCTCAATGCTTCGAAGCTCTGTTGTTCTCGGCCTTTCTGAATGCAAATATTGTTCTTTAATGTAGTTGGCTCTTTCGCTATGCAATCATTTCTGCAAGTCTGTGTTACAGTGTTTCTCCCTTCCCTCATTTGTTTCTATCCTTGCGTGTTTCTTTAGAGGCTTTCATTCTTTGGATGTTGCTTGTTTCGCGAAGTTCTCGCTGTCTACTTCGCTATTTCAATGTGTGTGTGTGTGTGTGTAACTTTTCTTTCTTGTCTCTATGTGTCTGTCTATGTATTTCCTTGCTTGGATACTGGTTTCTTTCTTGCTATATTTCGCACTCTCTGTCTCTCTCTCTCTCTCGCGCGCTTTCTGTTCGTACAGATTTATCTCTTCCTTTAGGCTTCCAAGAAAAGAATCCTTAATCCCTACTAAAGTCTTGCTGAAGACTGGTGCCCCCCTACGCTGGCGGTCGGCTGGCAGCAACCAAGAACTCCGAGAAACTCATCCTAAATATGGGAAGACGCACAGCTGCACAGCTCTCCCTCTCAGCCACCCGAAACCCTAAACCCTAAACCCTACACACGTAACCCTGCACCCTTTCGAACTCGACACCAGCCCCGTGACTCCGGAGGCGGCATGACCGGCGGTGGTTTCGGCTCCGCAGGTTTCGCGGGCTCTGCCTGAACATGGTCAGAAAGCTCAAACGCAGGTCAAGGTTAGGGTTTAGGGTTTAGTGCGAGGGGGGGTGAGGAGGGGGGGGACCGAGTCTGCTCAAGCATGCATCATTCTTCACTCTGCAAGACACCTCGGAAGAAATCTCAGGCAACCCCCCGTCAAAACTGCATGGTACTTTGCCAAGGCCCTTACGGCAAACACTTTCCCCCCCGGAGTTGAAAAAACATCATAGAAGTGACTGAGAATCCTGAGATGAGAACATTTCCAAGCTCCAAGATGCTAGAGAAGCGCGAGAGAAGTGCAAGAGAAGCCTAAAGCCCAGTGCCTGAGAGGCCTCCCCCCAAAAAAAACACATTAACATATTCTTCTTTATAAGCTAAATATATATATATATATATAGGGCTTCTTGTCCTTTTATTTTTTGGGGGGTGTTTAAGCAAACAGCAGCCTTCTAGAATCTGCCTACGAGTGGAACCCCGTAGGAGACGTCGTGGCCTGGGGCTCCTCCTCGGCCTCCGGCTTCTGCTTCGAGGCAAAGCGCTCGTTGGGCCGCAACTTCTTCTTGCTGGGAGGCGCCTAAAGAAGTGGGGGGTGTTTCCGAAATTTAGTACCTGCGTGGGGTCCTTGCTATAAGGGAGTCCTACTATTTTGGCTGTTTTGTGTTGGGGGTCCCTTGTTTTCGTAAACGCCGAGTGCACTGAAAGTGCTTTCGAGGTGTTCTGAAGTGCTGTTGAAGTGCTTTGGAATGCTTTGGGGATTCGTTTTCAGGAGCTTCGCGCGGGGGCAGGGTCGAGGGCAGGTTTAGACCTTTGTGCTCTTGTCAAACTCTTCGGAGATTGGAGAATTTTGGCCTGGCGAGGACGCGCAAAGCCTGCTGAAGACAAAATCTCAGAACTGCTGGTTTGCACGTTTAGGGCATGATGATAGAACCTGATGGAGAACCGTGTGGTCACCGCAAAAAATTCTTTGGAAGGGACATGACTACTGCATGTGATGTTCACACCGCGGGGGGAGAACCCTTCCAAACCCTAAACCCCAAACCCCAAACCCTAAACCCCAAACCCCAAACCCCAAACCCCAAACCCCAAACCCCAAACCCCAAACCCCAAACCCCAAACCCCAAACCCCAAACCCCAAACCCCAAACCCCAAACCCCAAACCCCAAACCCCAAACCCTAAACCCTAAACCCTAAACCCTAAACCCTAAACCCTTCGGAAAGGGACCTCCAACGCTGGGGCTGCATGTCGCGGCGCTGCAAATTTACCTTCAGGCTCACGGGGGTTTTGTGGCGATGGGGGTTAGGGCAGGGGATTGGTTTGGGCCTGATGTCTTTTTGCATGTCTTTACTTGGCTGCACTTAGGAGGGTAGCTAAAAATTAAAATTTTAGCTGCCTTATTAAGAAACCCAATAAACCCAAAAAGGCTAAGGATCTAAAGTTACATTAAAGCACCACAAAGTTTAGGCCCAGGCAAACGTCAAGGGCAGGGCAGGTTCTGGTTCCAGACAGTGTTGCGCATGGCCGGCTGTGCCACAAGTCGCGATCAAGCAAGCCCGCAGAGCTCAAACCCAAACCTGCTATTTGCGTCAAAACCCCACCCCCCCTCCCCCTCCAAAAAAGGACCACAATCCGTAGATTGCCTTATAACGGAGAGTATTTCATATGTTTTTGGGGGGTTGGTGACGCAAGCAGTCGAAGCATCCAACTCCTCAAAACCCCACATTCGGTAAGCGAAGTTGAGAGCGAAGAGCGAAATTGCAGAGAGGGTGCGCAGTTCTTCTTTGTCCGCGGACGGCTGCCGAATGCGCACATGCCTTGCAGAAGGACTTAAGAGGGTCTTTGCAAGCAAGTCCAGCACGTGAGATAAGACACACACGCACATTTTGACTTGCAGTCCTTCATAGGGATTATATACCGGGGTACCACAATTTAGGTAAGGGGGAACATCCCAAATCTTGAACTTTTGGCCGAATCCTGCGGGGTCCCTCGAACCCTCATGGCCTGCACTGCAGGTGCCCTGCCACTACAGGATTCCAGGCTTTCAGACACGCGACGTTTCAGATGTGAATCTTGTTGATCAAAGCTTATGAAAGGTTAGACTTCGGGCAGCAGCCCGAACATCTCTCAGCTTTCCGAAGCCCACGCTTCTAACCAAAAAGGCAACTAACAGCAAAATCTTCTCCAATTCTCCAGCACAGGACAACTTAAGCCTTGAAGCTCCCAAGCCATACAGCGTGTTCAACGAATGCAAAAACAAGTCATTGTAGGGCTTAGGGTTTAGGGTTTAGGGTTTAGGGTTTAAGAGACTCCCCGAACACCTATGTGTAACTAGCTCAGGCTTCAGAGTCGAGACGCAACTGAATCCCGTCTGTCGGCCTTGAGCCCTTTTTAAGATTTGGGGGTTGTTCGAACATAAGGAACCCCTAAACAGAAGCCCAAATAGTAGGATTCCCTTATAAAAAAGGCCCCCCCCCATCCAGTACCCCGAATTTCGGAAACCCGATTTGAAGCTGATGTCCAAAATTGCTTTCGAAGCTGCCTCTCGCCAACCGCAATCCAGCCACGGGAGGACTTGCTCATGGCAAGCTCGACAGCTTTCGCACTGGCAAAGCGCACGCACCCCACCTTCTCCCCGTCATCCTTGGGAATTCAGGATTGCGAGGCTAAACTCCAAGCTCCAACATCGCGAACTTACAGGCCCTAAGCTGAAAGACAAGGAACACGCTGTTTTGCTGGACTTTGCTGGTCCCTGACGCTTGCTATCGCTTCTTTCTAACCCTTATCGTTCTAGAATGATATCGCTCTCTTGCTTTGCTTTTTACCGTTTTACGAGCTGAATGCTCCTCGTGGGCACTCCTTACTCAACCGCAATACGCAAGTTTTTTCACTCCCTCAGCGGTTTGCTGTCGCTGTCCAGCGAGTCTGATCTGGGGCAGTCGGTGACGGCGAAGGTCTGCTACCGTGTCACTGACAAAGTGACGGTCTGGTCAAAGTTTGCGCCACGTCGGATGTTGGGTGTAGTTGTGTCGGAGGTCTGGTTCTGCTAAAGAAGTCCCTTCCTAGAGTGGAAAACGGCCCCAGAGCTGTTGGAGTGGGCGCAGAAGTACTCCGGCGTTTCCTGTGCTTGGTGAGATCGAGGATACGATGAGACAGGACATGACAGCACATCGACGCCTTGCTGTCTTCGATGACTCAGGAGCTGGACGCCCTTATCAGGGGGATGCTTGTTGCTGCTTGTGGAGGATGGAGTGGTTTGAACTTCGGGAGTTGCAGAAGCTGAAGCCAAGGTGTGTGGCCTTGGGGAGCTGTGGCAGCGGATGCCTGCTGCTTCGCTTAGTCGGCGCCACTGTAAACCCTAAACCCTAAACCCTAAACCCCTGTCAAACGCGCAGGCCCAAGCTGACCGAGGCAGTTTCGCTTCTTACATCCCACGAGGTGCACGTCAAATCGTCCGTAGTATGTCCCACCGGGTCTACCGTTGGATGTTGCCCCCTTGAGCTAACAGTCCTTCATAGGGATTCGAATAGGGATGACTAAGCTCCCTACTAAGGACTGTTTGTAGAAGGGGGAACATCCCCATTCTTACCAGCTTTTCAATATGAACGCCATAGGTCTTGTCACTTTCCTGGACTGAAAGCTTGCGGGCCGGCGGCACTCTGAAAGCCCAGTCGCACCTCCAGGACGGGACCATATCGCTTCAAGGCCTGCTTTTAGGATGGCTCCACTTGGGAAGTTTATGATAACAAGGGATTCCCTTAGAATAGAAACCCCCAAATATGGTACCCCTAATCTCGCCAACCCCTAACTTGCATGTTTTGAGAGGTTCAGTTGGAGGGTGTCCGGGAGTCTGGGCATTGGGCTCATGGCTGAAGCTTGGGGAGCTCAAGGACCTCAGCCTGAAGGGCATCGGGTAGAGGGTTTTTGCCAAACGCTGGCATGGGTGCCAAACTCCAAAATGCCAAATTCACCCCCCAAGCTCCAATCACCAAAGTCCGACGTCTTTATGACTGCGCGGGCATGCAGTTCCTAGAAGTTGCCTGGCCAGCTATGCGTTCCAGGTAGACTCCCACAGTCTATGCAACAAGCCGTTGAAGCCAGCGGTTACACATTGGAGTAGGCGCATGAGCATCCAGTAGTTGCTGGCCAAGCTCCAAATGCACTCCAGTTTGTATGCAGCAGCATTAAGTTTCCACTCCCCGGAGCTCGCGGTGCTTCAGGGGGCCTTTTGAGTGATCTTCAACTCCGAAAGAATCCCCGAAGCCCCAAAGCCCTTGCGCCTGCTGCAAAGCCACTTTGGCCTTGCCCTCCCAGTCGCCACTGGGAGCAAGCTCCTGAGCTAGGTTGGGGGAGCAGGGTTAGCGCCTGAAATCTTGTCCGTACAAAAAGCCGAGCAACAGTACGTGCCTTCGCAACCGCATGCCCTCCCCCACCCCACGCCCTCCCCGAGCTCGAAAAGCTTGAGCCGATTTCAGGTTCCTAACCCTAAGCCCTAAGCCCTAAACCCTAAACCCTAAACGATAAAACCCGAAACCCTAAACCGTAGACCCTAAACCCTAAACCCTGAACCCTAAAATAAGGCGGAGCTAAACTCCTAGACTCCTGGACCCCCTTGCTTGGGCCGCCCAGGAGCCCGGATGTCTGCGTCTGGGAACTCGACGACAAGCTTCTTGGTCTTGAAGCCATAGACAGAGTTCTCCTCCGTGCTCTACCCAGAGACTCCAAAACCCCTGAATCAAGGACTATCCCGTAAATTAAAACAGGAACCCTACTGGGTGCCCTAAGGCGACCCACGCGGGCAAAAGGCGACACACCCCAAGTATGCAAAAGGCAACCCACAGAAAGCTAATCCCCAGGGAGACGCCCTTGCCAGGCTACTTTTTGCAACATAGCAACAGACAAGCAAAATGCACGCGAGACCGAGCGCAGAGCACCGATTCCAAAGGATTTCGGACGACGATGCACCCTGAAACCCCAATGTGACGCCTTGCCAGACTACTTGCGCAACATAGCGAAACACAAAGGGATGAGTGTGTCCGTTCGCGACCAAACAGTGCGACGCAAACGGTTTATGAAATTAAAAGTCCATTGAACCGGAACCCCGCAAACCTTGCGCGAATTTAAAGGGTGTGGGGTTCAGTGTCAGAACTATAGACTTTAATGCGGTAGATTGAGCACAGGGCCTATGGTAGGTTACGGGAGGGGTCCGGGTTTTGCAGCTGCCGTGAGACATCCGCCACACATGCTGGACAACTGCCTTGTGACACCTACGCGACCCCAAAAGATAACCAGATTAAGGAATGTGCCGGAACAGAAAACTGCAAGGGGACGCCCTGGCGAGACGCCCACGTGTCATGAAGATAACTGCGCCATACTAGAAAACTGCAGTGTGACGCCCTGATGGGACGCCTTTTGCCTGCGCGAGACGCCTTAGGTCAACCACCCAGTAACACGACTCTGCTTGGGGCCAAGACTTCTGCTCCTGCATCTGGAGGCAGAACCCGGCAAATTTCAAAAAGATCTAAACCCCTCAACCGTCAAAAGTCAGAAACCCTACAACCTTGGCACCACAACACAACCCGCTTCCGCAATGCGATTGCGGTTGCTGTCGCGGCCTTTGTTCTGACGCCCGAGCCACTGAGCCACCGGACGGAGCCAACGAACGCGAGCCACAGATCCAGTGAATTGGGACACCGAGCAAAAGCCCAGGAACCGCACAGTGGCCACCCGCATGAAGGGCTACAAGAAAGACCGAGGGAGACAAACATAAGACCCGCAGCGCAAGAACCCAGCAACCACATGAAGGGAGACGAAGAGAAACACACAAAATGAAAAAAAAACAAAGGGAGACAAGAGGAGCTGAATGAGCTTCAAAACCCGGCAAATGGCACCCGCGTTAAGACAACAGGAGACAAATGGAGACACCGAGCATCAATGAGCCAGGGAACCCGACAAAGCCACCCACGCACGGGGAGAGCGTAGGAGAGAAGACAGGGGGAAAGAAGGAGCCGGAGTCCCGGAAATGCCCGGAAATGGCAGCAATCAGCAGAATGCCAGCAATCCTTGAATTGAGAAGCCCAAGAGCCTCGACAGTGCAGCGTTTGGGGAAAATGTCCATGCAGCTGGAAACAAAAAGCAGCGAACGCACCTTTCAACAAGATGGACAGACTCCTCTCTCTCTCTCTCTCTCTCTCTCTCTCTCTCTTGCGTTCTGACGAAACCTGTCTGAAAGTACATCTGTTCAAGGCCAATGCCCTTGGACAATTCTTGCAACTTCGCCCATACCTTCACTTTATGTCGTGGCAGACTCATGTTAAGTCATGAGGTTTCAACAGCGCACTGTTCATGCGTCACTCGCCTCTGCAGCAGCCCAGTGGCCGACTTAAGATGACTCAACCCAGTTGCTCGGTAGCACCCGGTGGTGCAAGATGGCTCGTATGGCTCAGTGCGGTGGCTCTCGGGGTCTCGCATTCGGTGGCGCCATCCGGTGTTGCTCATGGGTGCCTTCATGTGGCCTGGTGCACGGTTTGGCACATGAGGCTTCTTTCTTTGACATGCGTTCAGTTGTTGTTTTGTTTTTTTCTCCGGCGGCGGAATTCTACCCCCCCCCCCCCCAACCTCTTAACCACGAATCGCGTCCAAGTTTTGAGGGCTTACAGACCTCGAAGACATCCACTCTACCCTTGTTTTTGGTTTGAGATTTCAATTTGGGGCTGCGAGGATAACATGTGGGGACCTGCTGTTTTATCGGAGCCAGAAAAAGTACCATGGGTTTCATGGCATCGGACTGCGATGATCTGTCTCCTCCTTGGCGGGCTTCACCGGCTCACGGTACTTTCCCGGCGAGACGTAGCCCAAGGGAGGTCCTCTCGTCACTTTGGGGCACTTGTTTGAGGGCATAGGTGCGCATTCAGCGGCTGCAAGGTCCTTGGACAGCGGATGGCATCCAGCTCGGCGTCTTGTAGCCCGGGGGAGGCCCCTCGGCCCCATCGAGAAGACGTCCACCCAAGTCTTTGACCTCAACGCGCTTTTGGCTTTGGTTGAGCGCTGCGATCTCGCATTCTACACCTCACCCTCAAGCCCTCAAAGCTCGAGACCGTGCATTTTGTCAAATTTGATCAGTATGCGGGGCGGGAGGCGGGAGGGGTAGCTGGAGCACCAGTGGCAGACCTCACCTCTTGCCAAAGGACCTGTGGTCGTTGCAAAAATTTAGGTGAAACTGAGATACTGGTACGAGCAGTGCCAAGTCGGGTTTCCTGAATCAACCCTACACACGAACGGCTCCGCATGTGCAGCGCGATGTCCTCCAGCACTTGGGAAGTGCTAGAGTTTGCAAGGAAGCTGAAAGCATGGAGCAATGCGCATCAAGTCCAAGTAGCAGTCCAGGTTATGTCTTCCAGCTCTTCCTTGCGCGTCTTCACCTGCAGCGTTTTTTGGGTATGGGACTGTTTGGTGGTTAGCTCCAGTCGCGTGGCAGGTTTTGACTGCTTGCTGATTTCGGGGCTTTGGGTACTGAACCTGAACTGAAGATTGCATGGCCCGGGGGAAGAAGCCTTCAACAACTTAGGGCTGAGAACGCGGACTGTTCAAGCGAGAGAGAGAGAGAGGCAGAGAGAGCGAGAGAGAGGCAGAGTCAGAGAAGAAAGAGAGGAGAGAGCGGACAGAAAAGAGAGCGGAGAGAAGACAGGAAAGAGAGGCAGCAGAGGCAAGAGCAGCAAGAGAGGAAAGAGAGGAAGGAAGAAAGACAAAAAACACACCAGAGGAAAGAAAAGAGAGAAAAGAAAGAGGGAAATACAGAAAGGCAAGAAAGATAGGAAAGAAAAGAAGGAACGAGAGGGGAGGGAGAGAGAGAGAAGGAAAGACAGAGGAAGAAAGAGAGCGACGAAGAGGAAAGAGAGAGGAAAGAGTAAGAGAGAAAAAGACAGTGAGAAAGAGAGAGAAAGAGGGAGAGAGAGAGAGAGACAGAGCGAGAGCGTGAGGAAGAATAAGAAAGAGACCAGAGAAGGAACACCGGGCTTCTATACCAATTATTGGGCCTTCAGTTTGGGGTCCTTAAAGCCTGTTCCCGACCCAATAAGAGACACAAAAAAAACCATCCACCTTTAGATGTACTAGTTCCTCCGAAGCATTTACATCGGACTGTTCATGGTATCTATACACAATATTTCTTATGACATCGTGCGTGAAAACCCAGGGGGCCACAGAGGGGGGCGGGGTTGAGAGGACCTGAAGCCGACGTTGCTTTGCTTGAGCCCTATATTTGGAGGGGGTTTGCGAAATTGGCGGGCACCTTCTTGGGGTCCTTGTTATAAGGGGGATCCTACTATATTAGGGGTCCTAGTTAAGGGTCCCTTATTTTCATAAAAGCCCATTGCTGCAGGAGACGCCGCATTGTCTGGCGCCGAAGTGCGGGGGTGACCGCATTCTGCGTAAGGTTTGAGGCCGAATGAGCCCCTGAATATCGTCGAATTGTGACGCCGAACTCGCTCCTGACACCGAATTAGCCCCTGACGCCGCGTTGTGAAGCTGTGTTAGCCCTGTCAGCGGGGTGCTTATATAAGTCCAAAGCGATGCTGAACCCGCGTACCTGCCCTGCGACTAGCATTCTGTGCCTGCGCAAATGTCGCAAGCGCTACATGAGACTGCAATTGCGCACCGGCACAAGCCTCACAAACATCGTGGGACTCCAGTTCCGAGCACAAAAAACCTTGCAGAAACAGCATGGGACTGGAATGCTTCTTCTTCCTTACCTTCCTTCCTTCCTTCCTTCCTTCCTTCCTTCCTTCCTTCCTTCCTTCCTTCCTTCCTTCCTTCCTTCCTTCCTTCCTTCCTTCCTTCCTTCCTTCCTCCCTCCCCCCCTTCTTTACGGAGTCTTATATTTGACTCAGGTGTTCTTTTTGGTTCTGAGGTCTAGCTGATGCTTTTGTCGATAATCATTGATTCGTTTAAGCTCCTCTTGCCCGCCCCTCCCCCCCCCTCCCCGGGAAAAAAAGAGGGAGAGCTTTAACAAAGTGCCGCCATCAAACGCCTGGAAGTAATTTCAGGAGACAAGGGGCTACACCTTCAAAACAAAGGGTCCTAAGCCAACCCTAAACCCAAAACCCTAAACCTTAAACCCTAAACCCTAAACCCTAAACCCTAAACCCTAAACCCTAAACCCTAAACCCTAAACCCTCCCAAGAAGGAGGCCTGCAGGAGTTTGGGATCGTCGGTGCACTTGGCGGCCACTTTCCGCAGCTCCAGACAATCCTTCAAAGCCTCTCAGGGGTTGCGGCTGAGTGATAGAACCCCAAGCGCAAGCTTACCTAGGACTTGCTAAGCTGCGGTTTTTAGGGCTTGAAGGCTCTAACTCACTTGATGGAGTTGCTGAGCTGCTTGCGAGGAGTGTGCCTCAGCCCTAATCCATCTGAACCTTCAAACTTCCGCCCTCAACCATAGGCAAGGAAAGAGGCAAAACAGCTTGACAGCCCAAAGCCATCACACCAAACCACCCCCCCCCCCCGGCTTTGGGTCACTGACACCATTCTTGGCCTCCTGGCGGTTGCGTCGGGCAGGCCCCACCACGGTACCCAACTCCCCAACATCGAGGAGGGCCTTCGCTGGTGCCCATAAAGACTGACTGTCCCAGTGGGTTTGTGATCGGTGGGTTCCAGTTCTGGGTTTTTTTCCGTGCTTCGGAGCTTTGAAAGCAAAGGAAACTTTAAAAAAATACTCAAGAAAGTCCGCGATGCCGTAATCTCGGCAAAGAAGACTCCGCCTTTCCTAGCAGCGCAGTCTGGTAGTCTAGCAGGACTGCGTGTGCAGCATCGGGCATCTAACATGCTAGAGTGTAGTTTACAGTCTGAGCATTAGGCGCGAGACTGAGGGCTTGTACCACCATAAAAGTGTCCACTCCATCTGCTCGGATGCAGAGGGCTCCTGTGAAACATATGCGTCTTTAATACTTCTCTCGTCGCAGCCCCGCCATTCTCAAGCCTTAACCTGAACCCTAACGCGGACAAGGTGCGTGATCGCCCTGGAGACAACCTTTGCTTCCATGTTTGCAAAGGACACTGGACCATGCCTGTCAGCGTGGGGAGTTCTACGATGTCTTCTGCAAGCTGCGGAGTGCTCCGTCTTGAATGTGAGTTTGATATGTAAGTGTCTGCTTTTGTAGACGAAGCTGTTACCCAAATAGTTTTCGCTGACTGCGTGGTATGATCAAGACACTGCGTTGAGGCCATGGAACTACAGCCACATCGATGCATGCGGATTGGCTCTCTACCTCAACAGGCTTGGGCCAAAATGAGGGCACATGGCACTGCTGGGCGTTGGAGACTGCAAGACCCTAAATCCTAAACCTACTATTTGCCCAAGGACCGCCCCAAAGGTAAAATAACAATATTCTTCCTTATCAGGGTAATATAGGGATTATTGTCTCTTATTTAAGGGTAATATAGGGATGATTGTTTTTTTAGGGTTTTTAAGCAAATAGTGGTAAATCGTAAACCGAAACGCCTTCAGAAATCTTCCTGCCCTCCTGAGTCCGAGTCCGAGTCAAAAAACCTTGTAAACCCTAGGATCCGTTTAGGGTTAGGGTTTAGGGTTTAGGGGGGTTTAGGGTTTAGGGCCTAGGGTTTAGGATTGGGACCTTTGTGCTAAACAAGTTGATAGAATGTGCCCAAGGCTGGCAAGTTCGTGTGGCACCTTGTTAGGCTCTATTCGCGCAAGGCGAGCAACATACACAAAGCCAAGCACAAGCACGGCCGAAAATTGGATCGCAGGGCCCAACGCAAAGATTGCCCACACATGCTCAATCTTGGCCCTGCGCACTTTCTGGTCAAGTTCTCAAAACTAGTGGTCTCTTTTGGGTGCCTCATAAAAGTAACCCCAAAATAAAACCACCATTTAGAGAATCGACCATATGGCGTTTCCTAAATTCGGGCCCTATTGGGGGCCTTATTTCAGGGAATCCTACTATTTGGGGATCTAAACTGGGGGGCCCCTATTTTCGTAAACCCCCATATGCAACTGCCAGAATCTCCTTCCCGTATTGCCTCGCTCTGCTCGAGCAGCTTCTGCATGGTCAGCAGGCGCTTTTGCACCTTCGGACGCCGAAAGGTCTGTCGGGCTCATGCCCTCCCTCCTTTGTGCCTGTTGTTTCTGAGGGCACTCCAGCAAAAAAAAACCGTGCGGAATTACAATTTAAGCCAATGGCGCAATGCGAAGCAGCTTGAGCTTGGGAACCCGGATCTTAGCTGGCTTCTTGCTCCTGACTTCGGACTTTGGCTTGGAGCCTTATGTGGGGATCCGACGAAGCCCCGAATGAAGCTGTGCATGCACCTTGAATCTTGAATCTTGAAGCTTGAATCTTGGGATCTTGGGATTTTGCACTTTGGGATCGTGAATCTTGAATCTAGAATCTTGGGATCTCGGATCCGGGCCGGATTGTTCTCTTCAGTTTTCTTCGGGCCCGGAGCCCGGTGATTCTCAGGATGCAGGTCAAGAGACAAGGCGAGAGTCAGCTGAAATTCTCATGGAAGACAGGTCCAGGGAGGTTCAGAGGGTTTAGAGCTTAGGGCTTAGAGATAGAAGCACCTGGGAAGATAGGACGCACACACAAATGAAGCTCGGCTGGGAACGCAAAAATAAAACACGATCAGAAAATCACAAACATACGAGATATGCACATGGGGGATGATTTATCCTGTTCTCTTTTCCGGGACTCGAGCCGAGAGCCTGAAGTGCAATTATCATGTATAGGGGCCAGGGTTTCAGAACCCCTAAACCCTAAACCCTAAACCCTAAACCCTAAACCCTAAACCCTAAACCCTAAACCCTAAACCCTAAACCCTAAACCCTAAACCCTAAACCCTAAACCCTAAACCCTAAACCCTAAACCCCAGGGCACTTGGGCACTTGGGCAACTTCCAGCCTCCTCCATCTGGTGGCTTTTCTCAAGGTGGGCCCGCTCCATCTTCTTCAGCTGCTTCTGCATTCGCTGGGGATCCGAAAAGATGCGTCCAGGTTTGCCTAAGCCACCCTAAACCCTAAACCCTAAACCCTAAACCCTAAACCCTAAACACTCGGCCTGGACCTCTCAAATCCTGTAAAGCCCATTGAAACCTTGCCTTAAAGCACCGAAATCAGAATACAGGTGCTTCTGGGCTGCTGGGGCCACCCAGTCATCTACAATTTTCCGTGCTCGTCCTTCCTTCTTGGCGTGGACTTTGGAACAAGGAGAAGTGCACTATTTAGGGTTTAGGGTTTGGGGAAACAACTCGAATCAAGACCAAGAAATCAAAGCCCCGGCGTCCGCACTCAAATAAAAGTTCAAAAGACCAAAGCTCCACGCTTCCGAACGCAGCATGTTCGCCAACAGACTCCAAGCATTGTAAATTCAGCTTTCTGTCCATGTCATAACAGCGATTCGCAACAGTGCAAGCCCATCCCCTGCAACAGGCTCTTAAGTTTTGCCCGTGAAGCAAAAGGGCAGGCCAAGGTTTCAAAAAACGGCTTGGTTGCTCTGAGTTTGTTTGGGCTTGGCTTCTGGGCGCGGCTGTGTCCGCAACCCCCTCCCCTCCGTTTGCAGCAGTGTCAGCCCTTTTTACAAGTTGGCCGTGTCCCCTATTGGATCCCAGGTCCTACTTAAGAACTTTTTGTTTTGCCGAGCCTTCTCTTGGTGCTCAGCCTTGCAACAAAAATGGCTTGGTTTTGGTTTGGCGGTGTTGTAGTTGGCTTTGTCATAGTGGGAAGTCTGGGGCACAGCCCGACAAAGTCCTAGTGCAGAAATGTTGCTACTTGCCGCAAGTTGAGTCTGCGAATGTTATTATGCCAGTCGTCAAAAGCCTAAATAAGGACAAAGGTCGCCTTCTGAGCAAAAACCTGCCTGCTGGCAAGAGTGATGGCTTGGTAACTGCAACCTATCACACACCTGCATGGGGCATGGGCGCGACACACACGGAGAAGCACTCGCACGCTGCGTGTGAGTACAAGCGCCGAAAAAACAACCTGAAAGAAGCTGTTCGTCCCTACCAGGAAGCACCAAGACTACAACTTGTTTGCGTTTTGAGGTGCCATGGGTCTTAGGACTAAAAAATCAAAAAATGCTTTGCCCAAACCTCCTTTTCCTCAGCCGCGGTCTCTGCATTGACCACCTGTCTTGAGGGCTCAGAAATCGACGCTAAGGTTTTCACGGGGCTCTGAAGCGGGTTGCCAATTCTCGGGAAGGGCTTGTCGGAGATATTCACGGTGGTCTGTCGGTTGTTGACGGGTTCGCATGTGTTCATCGACTTCTATGGGCCTTGAAAAGGGCTTCTCTGCACAGAGAACTCTTTGCCTGTTTTGCAATTTGGCCTTATTCAACACATCATAAGCCACCCCAAGAGCAGCAAGCTGCCTCAAAACAGCCAAGCGATCCGACCCAACACTGAAAAAAGAACTCGAGAGCCACGAAGGTTCCAGTCACAAGACCGACCCAAAAACCCGAAACCCGAATCCCTAAACCCGAAACCCTAAACCCTCAACCCAGCTTCAGGATGTGGAACAAATAACCGCTGCAAGGGTCTACGATTAAGGCCCCCCTTCTACTACCAGTCCTGAATAGGCATTATAGTGTTTAATGACTGTTCGTATAGGGGGGAACATCCCAAGTAGGAACCCTCTGGACAAGCCCAAAACGCAACACCTCGGTGTAGAGCTCGGCCACCTCGTTCCTTCGGGAGGCTGCCTCTGCGGGGTGTCACTCAAATCCAAGCACCCAACCACCCAAGCACCCAACCACCCAACCACCACCCAACAACCACCCAACCACCACCCAACCACCACCCAACCACCACCCAACCACCACCCAACCACCACCCAACCACCACCCAACCACCACCCAACCACCACCCAACCACCACCCAGCCACCACCCAGCCACCACCCAGCCACCACCCAGCCACCCAGCCACCCAACCAGCCACCCAACCAACCCTGGAATCCAAATCCCGCCCAAAAAACCCCAGAAAACCGTCAAAACAGACTTCGCAGGGCCTCAGCCGTTGCTGATGCAGCCTGCGCACTTTGCTCCAGCAGGAGATTCAAATGCTTGGAAGGAGAGGAGGTTTCCGGGTTTTGGTTCTAGGGTCCAGGGTTTAGGTTTAGCAGAGGGTCGATCGATGGCCCGTGCGCAATGCGTCGTGGGATCCTCACCATGGGCTGCTGTCGGGGAACTCAAATATGCATCCCTCACTGCTTGGACACTTCCAAGAGCGCCGAACACAGAGTCGACATACAGACAACTACTTGGTAGCCCAGTAACCCTCTTATAGTCAGGGTACCCTATTTTGGGTTGGCTACTTTATAAGGGAACCTTGAACCGAATAAATGGGTAAGGGCACGACTGGGCTACCAAGACTAAGGCTTCAAATAAATCCTGAAGACTGCACGCCTTGCTCTCGATGTGCATGCGGTCAGTAAGCAGCTTTCGCTTCTCCTCCTGCGCGCCCAAACAACCCAACAGGCTGCAGGTCATGCGAGATTTCAAAAATGCTGGAGTTCAGATTTGGGCATTAAGCTACATCAAGTCTTGGGATTGAAGCGCATTGCTGTAGCAGACACAGGTGAGCGTGACGGCTGCAGTTTCTGCCACTAGCGAACCTGCATCCGAACCAACACCCCCGAATCCCCTAAACCTAAACCCTAAACCAGGAGTCATTCGGCCTGGCCTTATGGAAACAATTTAGCATCTAAACCCTAAAAATCCCCCAAAACCTAAACCAGCTCTGCACCCGATTGGTCCTCAACTTCTTGTCGAAGACGCCTTGGTTTGGTGGGGTCGAAGGGAGTTCTTAGTGATGCTGCAGCCTGTGGCCATCACACCGTCAAACATTTGAGGGATCTTCCACGCTTGATATGGGGGTTTAGGGATATCGATCCCCAAATAGTAGGATCCCCTGACTAGGAAGGACCATAAGAAGGTACCCCGAATGTTGGAAACTCCCCCCCCCCCCCCCTTTTTCTTGCTCACGCCCAAAGCCCCGAACTCCGTGGGTCCGAGGCTTCCACCGCATCTCCTCCTCCCTCTCGGCTGCCAAGTCTGCGAACGTGGCCACGCGCTCCTGCAAGGTGCTACTGTAGGGGCCTGAACCAATTACAACTCATTTGGTTTTTGGGGATAGTCTTGTGCAATTATACAGGGAGCATTTATCCGACCCCTATATTAGCTGGGGGTTTTGGGACTGGGAAAGGCTGCACGCATTGGGCAAGGCAGATGGATGGGCCGAGGTCTTGAACAATGCAGGCGATGCACCCTCCTGAAGTACTCTGACAGCGTGAGGGGAGGCCCCTTGCAACCATTTGCATCCGGACTTCCATGTCCCGAGAGCCCAAACCCTTCGAGCAAACCATGACCCAAAACCCCCCCGCCCCCCATCATGCCTAAGACCGAAGTATGGCGGCGCGAAGCCACCATGAACGGTTAAAGAGGCATCATGCTGAAAGCTTTCCAAAACTTCTTAAGCGCAATCTTCAAAACTTCTGCACCGCAACAATCTGCTTCTCACCAGTTTGCACCATCACCTCTGTGCAACCCGTTCCAAAGCCAGCAAGACCCAAAACTCAGGACCCCAAAGCTCCCCGCAAGTCTCCTGGAGCTCTCGCACCTGCTGACGGATTGGGGTGCGCTCTTGGAAGTTCTAGAACTACAGACACAAGAGCGCGCCAGCACGCTGGACGCTTTTGGTCTGCAACAAGAGTTGACACTCATGTCAGGCCCCGCAGACAACACATGAAAGCAGCATGGAAGCACAGGCTTCAAGCCCTCATGCCGACCGAGCCCCATGTAACAACAAAAACACATAAATAAAAAGAAACAAGCAAGCAAGCAAACAAACAAACAAACAAACGAAAAACCAAACAAACAAACAAACAAACAAACAAACAAACAAACAAACAAACAAACAAACAAACAAACACACACAACAGTACAGTCTACATTCAGTAGTTCCCTTTTTTAACAGCAATCCCTATCCAGCGCAAGGCATCCTCAAGCCGGTGCTACACCGGCAGATCGATAGCTGACACCTTGAATGTTTAGGGCTTGGGCTTAGGGTTTAGGGTTTGTTGGAACGTCATCTATGGGTTCTGGAGATTCACACCAAGAAGCGACGGCCAATCTATGCAGGAAGCCCCTTAATCCCCTAAACCCTAAACCCTAAACCCTACACCCTAAACCCTAAACCCTAAACCCTAAACCCTAAACCCCAAACCCTACACCCTAAACCCTAAACCCTAAACCCTCTATGCAGGAAGCCCCCTTCTGTTGGTTTCTTGAGTCGTGGCGCCTCCTGGCTGCGCTCCCCAGCTGCCTGCTGGTAGTCATTGGCCTATAGGGAAGAATGTCACGGCGAAGTTGTGAGGTTTCAGGGCTTAGGGCTTAGGGTTTAGGGTTTAGGGTTTAGGGTTTAGGGTTTAGGGGTTAAGGTAAGTCACCATGGCAAGTCCATGATCGTGCTGGAGGGCCTCCTCACGGCTAAGGCTTCCAAAGCAGGCCGTGACCCAGGCGCAGTTTTTCGGGGGCCCTTGCTTTGACAGAAAGAGGGGACTCCCCACCCACAAAAGCCCCCGCCTTCCGCTCGACCTCCGAGTACTGTCGGCATTTCAAGCCTTGGATTTGTAAGGCTGTGAGGCGTTTGGGCATCATGGGTGGGCCACTGCTCTCCGAACCCGTTCACACTTTTTTACATTCACTCGAAGATGCAGATGTAGGCATGAGGCTACCCCATGTGCAGCTATATAGGGGCTCTTATATTCACGACTCCAAGACAACACCTCCGACAGAATGCTGAGAGCACCCCTCTCGTATATACAGGCGCCCAGCTGAGCATTTTGGAGATCTGCTTGTTTTCAGCAGCAAACTCCTTGCCAGCTTTGCAGGTTCTGAAGATGCTTTTCTGGGTGCCGACGTTCCAGAATCCCCAAGGCTGGGGGAGGGTTTGGAGGCCCAAAAAAAATAACTTTTCATGGCTTTATAAGGATTACATAGGGATTAAGGGTAGTGAAAATTAAAATTATGTTCAAAGTTGAACTCTGCCCCAAGCTCGACGGCACCTCGTGGCGCTGGCGATTGTGCATGCTGAAAAGCTTGGGGAGGCTCTCGCACCTGAGAAGCTTCAATTTGGGGATGCTTCATCGTTCAATGCCCTTCAAAGACATGGCCTTTGATGGTTCCGATTCAGGCTCTGAGCGCAAGCAAGGTTCGGGTGGGCCAGACACATGTCGTCTTTCTGCAAAAATGACACCATGACTCCTTTCTGTCAATATTAGGTGTTCCTGATGCTGGAGGTGTCGTTTGAGCTTGGCACATAAATGCGGCCGAGGACAGTCGGTCTGCCCAGAATTCAGCCTGTAGCAAAGGGAGAAGGTAACGCTCCCTTCAAAACACTCAAACCGGTTTCTGCTCCGCACTTCAACTCTGCCACACCACCCTGTTCATGCAAGGCTTGCATATCTTGGGTTTGAGGTGTGGGAGGCATCAAAATGTGGCGTTTTCCGGCCTCATCCTCGATATCCAACACAATCGACATGGCCAGCTCTCCACTTCGGAGGACGCGTATCTGGCCAAACGACTTGTGATCTGAGTTAGCAGCTAACTTGACTTGCGATGCTTTGCAGCCTTGTTGCAAGCCGGGACAAGCCGTGCAGCATTTTAAAGTCAACTGCTACATAGCAATCCGAGCCCATGGTCAAGCCGAACATATACAACTTGCGATGTCCCCCCCTTGTACTAACAGTCCTTGCTCTGCTTAAGGACTGTTAGTATAAACCCTAAACCCTAAACCCTAAACCCTAAACCCTAAACCCTAAACCCTAAACCCTAAACCCTAAACCCTAAACCCTAAACCCTAAACCCTAAACCCTAAACCCTAAACCCTAAACCCTCAACCCATCCCAAAATGTACAACTCCTCCAGGAAGACCTCGCTGCCATGAAGAGAGACTTTGGCCCCCTGCCTTGGACTTGAAGCTTTGGAGGTGCTGCAAAAGCTGGGGGTTTAGGGTTTAGGGTTTAGGGTTTAGGGTTTAGGGTTTAGGGTTTAGGGTTTAGGGTTTAGGGTTTAGGGTTTAGGGTTTAGGGATTAGGGTTTGGATGTCGACTCTCCGTCAAGGGTGCGTACAAACACTAAGCAACACCAAAGGGTCTTTGCTTTCGAGATCCATGCGTACCTCTTGACAGCTTCCATGGCTTTGACCATCTACGTCTCCCAGGTTCGGGATTCAATGCCGAAATCAAATGGAGGCCCGCAACAGGAATGTTATGACTGAATGTGCCATTCGCACTCAAGGCGCCTGGCAATACATGGAATATGCTAACAGAAACTGGTTAAGGCTTACGGCCAAGGACTTTGAAAACTGCAAGCCTAGGGCAAGAGCCTTGGCCCCAACCCGAACTTCCCCGAGCCTTAGCCCTAAACCCTAAACCCTGAACCCTGAACCCTGAACCCTGAACCCTGAACCCTGAACCCTGAACTCTGAACCCTAAATAAGTCGATAAGTCGGGAAATTCAACCTGAAAGAACCTGCGGTGTGGCCGAGTCGCAGATGGATTGAGCCCTCCGCCTGGCCAGGCGCCTCAGGGGGGGCACCGTGATTGACCCTCATCCTTTTTAGGGTTTGGGGTTTAGGGTTTAGGGTTTAGGGTTTAGGGTTTAGGGTTAGCGCAAGGGCCCTTAGGGTTTTCGGGTGTTGGGGTTTTAGGGCTTTAGGGGCTCTAGGGCTTTCGGGCTTTTAGGGTTGAGAGTTGAGGGTTTCGATCATCTGAACACTTCCTGGAAGAAAAAGTTCATGCAACAATGCGGGGCCTGTAATGGGCGACCACACAGGGACCCCCATACTTCACACGAGCCGCAACCAGCACATAAGGCCGGGGCTGTGCCATACATCAGCAAATCTCCGACCAAAGTAATATGACCTGCAATGCAAACACTAAGCTTGCGGAGCTTCAGAAAACAAAATCCAATACCATTTCCGAAATGGGTTTCGCACGCCGATGGCTTGTGAGGTCGCCTGCGACGTAACAGCACGCCTGCATTGCTGCCGCAGGCACCCTAAACCCTAAACCCTAAACCCTAAACCCTAAACCCTAAACCCTAAACCCTAAACCCTAAACCCCATGCAGGATCAATGTGACAATCACCGAACTTTAGGTTCTGCAGGATTCGATGCCTCTCCCGTCAAGCTTGTTGCGGTGGAGGGTCGCTTCTTGACCGGGACCTTGGGCACTCTGTGTCTTGATCCTAGGATCGCCCCTTCAAACCCTCTGAAAAAGATTCCTAAATATGATCCTCTCAAGCCCAATAAGGGATGATATCAAATATCGCAAAGGGGGCCGACTTAGGATCCCAGCCCACCCCACAGAGGAGTTAAGGGCCCTGCGATGGCGGTGGTGCTGGGGTAGCAGCAGTCCGTCTGGTATGCGATGAAGGCTATAGCACCTCCTGGTGTGTGAGCAACAGACAAGTGTGGAGCCAACATCAGCTCGCTTTTATGCTTGTCTATTCATATTTTCTCATTGTTCTTGTCACGTTTGGGAATGCGATCTCCAACTCTCAGCGCCTGCCGCCATCGCCGCTGCCGCTCCAACAGCCGCCATGGCTTGGATGAAAACGCGCTGGCCCGCTTCTCAAGAGCTGTCATACATGAACATGTCTGAATGCCAGTTCTTGTGGCGCTTTTCCAGTCAAGCTATGTGGAATCACACATCGCCCGCTCCCGCGCTAAAAAGCTGGCAAGTGAAGGTTGCGCATGACCAAGCGAGACAAAACGCACCTCGCATAGTCTCTTCGATAGCATTTTTCGGCGATTGCACATCAACCGAACATCCCACTCAGATCCTTGTAGTCACTGATCTCCTCCTTTCGTAAGTTGATGCGCTATGTCTGCACATCGCTCGTGGGATGTGAATGGATGTCAAGGAACTAACAAGGTGCATACAAAACGCCTCTTCTTCTTCTTCGAACTCCTCGAATGCCTCAGGAGTGCTGTTGCTTGCTTGCTCTCTGTCTCTCTCTCTCTCTCTCTCTCTCCCCCTCTCTGTGGCCAGGAATTCGTGTGTCAGCACATGCTACTTGAACGTTGGGTCTGTGCCTTTAACGAAAAGAGCAACTTCGATGACATTAGGGCACCTTCCTCTGGGGCTGGCCGACTCTGCCCTCTGAAAGCACATCGGCTGGGCCGAGATGTTCTTTCCAATGCCCGACTCTGTTAGGTCGGATGTGCAGCGAAACAAGTATCATTGAGAGCCGCACGTCCCATCGTCTCGCCAACTCGTCGTCGCTCAAGTCCTGCTCTTCCACATCCAGGACTTCAATCGTGAAAAAGCAACGCTTCTTGAGCAGCCACGGTACCATGTGACACAAGTGTAATGAATCATGGAGCAGCACGCTGCGCTGGATTCTATCCACATTGGGCATGTCATGCCAACTTAACGCTGATGCCCCCTTTCTGTCCCATCCTCTTCATCATCCGATGCGTCGACGGCCTTGCGCAATGCAAGCGTGCTTGCTGCAGGCATCTCGGCATTATTGCACCAGCTCTCAACAACATCCGTCTGGCAACCCCGCTCACCTCCAGGTTCCGCATGTCCGGATCGCTGCTTGCGACATCTTCGTCTTTCAAGTCCTCGCCGAGACGTTTTTAAATCCAGCAACTTCCATCCCGCCTAATGCACTAGCACCCTGGGGTAAGGGAAGGCCTGGACACAAACACAGGCAACTTCAGTATGAGACCTCTTGGCTCTCCCAGCACCAGGGCATGTGTGCTATCTCGCTTTATGTATTTTGTTTTTTTTTTTCTCTCTCTCTTTCTTTCTTTCTTGGGGGCATGGGGGCGAACCCCCGGGCGTCCTCGCCCGCCCCGGTATTCGGGGGGTCTCCGGTTGGCGGTTGGAGGAAGGAGAGCACACAAGACCTTTGATCCCCAGACCCTGTGCCCCCATAGTGCCCATATTGCAGGCCCCCCTTTGTGCTCCCCTCCCTGCCCCGCACCTGTACCTGCCTCGGTGTCAGCGTGTCTCTGCTAGTCCCGGGCTTCAAGCTCGACTACAGCAAGAGCACTACATTCTCTCTCTCTCTCTCTCTCTCTCTCTCTCTGGCTGCCTGTCTGTCTGCCTGCCCGTCCGTCTGTCTGTCTGTCTCGGCCACGCTTAATATTGAGCTCACAAAGCAAAACTAAATTACTGAGCTCACGCAAACAGTTTTACCGCGCTCAATTACTCATTCTTTTGCGCGCTTACGGTTATCACAATGAGTGAAACGACCAGTAAACTAACTTGCAAGGAACGAAGACAGAAGGGGTAATAGAAGAAAAAATCACGCACGAACCCCTATCAATTACGAATTTCAATGCCCCTCTAAAGCCAATTTAGTCAACACAAGCTTTTTGGCCGCTCCATTGCTTCACTAGTTACTCATCTAGAATTCACTCAAAAACTCATGCATTTTTTGTTCACTGGGCATTATTCTGCTCAAGAATAATAAGAGCGAAAAAACACACTGCTTTTCATGTCTGTTGTGCGGGTTTTTTGGCGCTCATACATTTCTCCGCGAAGCGGTCGCCACATAGCAGTTTCTTGTGTCGTTGTGTCATTGCCTCGACGTCAACCTGGTTGCCAGAAGCAGTCTCTTTAAGAGGTCTCCTAGCTCGCCATAAACGGTCGGCCGCAAGAGGTTTCCCCAGGCGGCTTCCAGAAGCGGCCGGTCTCCCCCAACAAGAAACCCAAAAAACGCGGTCTCCACAACTTAGGATTGGCTTCCATAAGAGCGGTCAAGAAGGTGGTCTCTGTTGGCAATGTCCAGGCTCTGTCCTTAGCCACCTTCAGGGCTTCCCCGAAACCCGCCCTCGCCCTCGCCACACGCTGCAAACACGAAAACCTCTGGGATGACTGGATGCAAAACCGCAGCCCTCCAAAGAAAAAGCTCACAACAGCCTCGAAATCGGAGAGCTGGGCTCCGTCAGCAAATTCTTTCCGTTTTGGAAGCGAGCTTCTTTGACAGCTGGCTGGGACGCTTTTCTTCCGAGCAACTGTTGCAGTTGGTGCTCAGGGGGGGCAACAGGATTTGCGCGCCCCAGCCAAACATGTCTGCCTTGAAATGTCACGGCTGATCTGAGCCGCGCGCTAGCTGTGACTCAAAACGATTCAAGGATGGCATCTTTTGTTGGCATCCACTCACGGTTTTTTACTTCTAGTTGCCATTCCGGGGATATTTTTCGTTTCAACTGCCCGCCCACACAACGCAACTGGACAACAAAAACGTGCAGTCAAAATGTCCTCGCCCCAGGCATCATCAAGCAACTCTCTTTGTTCGCCTGGAGGAGGTTGCTGGTAGTCGCTGTCCTTGCACACGCCGGGAGACTTTCTTCGAATGCGAGTTGGGGTTCTACTTGGCTGCGCTTAGCAGGGTAGCTATAAATTAAATTTACAGTAAAGCACCACAGAGTCTAGAAGGGCCTACGTGCGTTTTGCGTTCGAAAGCATCCGACAGCGTCCGAAGGCGTCCGAAAGCGCCGGATTGGTGCGCAATCGAGCTGCAGTTCCGGAAGCCCAGCGTATTTTGTTCGCACCTCAAATGTGCACACAGACAACACGCGGGGTGCGCCATCCTCGCAACAGTCGTCGTTTTTGAACCCAAGTTTGGCGTTCACGCTTCAAAAGTACTGAGAAGGAGAGGACACAAAGAGGGAGAGAGAGATAAGAGAGAGATAAGAGAGAGATAAGGGAGAGATAAGTGAGAGATAAGAGAGAGGTAAGACAGAGAGCGAGAGCGAGAGAGAGAGAGAGAGAGCGTGAGACTGAGCGAGGACTGAGATAAGAGCGAGAGAGAGAGACGGAGAGAGAGAGAGAGAGAGAGAGAGTGAGAGACAAAGAGAAACGGATATGATACTTCGGTGTCGTGCACATCGTCTCTATTGTTCGCCATGTACGTGGCGCGTGTCTGCATTCAGTCTTGTGGCCCCACATCAGGTTGTTTTGTCAGGTACAGCAACAATGAGACGGTTTCACCAACTGGAACCAGCCTTTCTTTCATCTCACACGGGAGAGAAGTGACTGGTCTACTCCAAACAAAATGGTCATGCATACTCGCTTGGGGGAAAGTGGCTTCAAGGCCATACGCACGGTGCTGACAAGTGAGCACGATCTCGAGTGGTCTGTGAAAATGAGTACAAGCTTCGGGACACAGGCAATTGCCGCGCAGGCAAGAGCGCGATTTGGAGGCCAAATGCATACAGGCCGAGCGCAATTACGAGCCACACGGGCAACGGGCCACTCTCGACCAGCGACCCAGACACGGAGAAATGCAAGAAAAACAAAAGAGCCTCAAAGAGGGAAGCTCCTGACATGCTCACCACTCGATTTGACTGCTCTTGCAAATAGCTGGTGCAGAGATGAGAAGGTGCCTCCTCCCACTCTTCTGTGTCAAAGTCCTGAACATCATCAAGTCATCCACCAGCCATTCTTGAGCAAGAAACTGCACAGGACCCAACCTTTGGGGTTCAACAACCCGTAGATGCAACAAACAAAGGGCCGAGGGTTGGCGATACTCACAGGCTTTTTGAGGCTTTCTTCCGACCTGACGTTTCTATGTTGCACCGGAACCTAAGCCCTTTTTTTGCAATGTTGTGTGAAGGTCAACAGGGCTGATGACATGTCCTGCGGCTGCTGGTAATCTGGGATATTCAGAAGCTCGGACAGGTTCGGAGCCTGCACTTGAAGGAACAATGGTTCTCACATGGCACTTCATAGAAGCGTTGGGTTCACCGGCCTTCAACACGTTCGTGCCCTCTCTGTTCAGCCGTTCCAGCTCTTTTCTGGCAATGTCCTGGCCCAGCAAAACAGCAAGTAACCCATTGGAGCTAAACAGCAGCAGTCAGAACAGTTGTAAATCTGCCGCGGCGGCTCTGTGTCTGCGTCCCCGGGGCGTCTCTGTCACAGACTGCCAGATCTTGGACCAAAGGTGATCCACACCTGTGCTGCATGCTGAAAGCGTGGTCGGCGGAGGAGTGCTTGCTTCGACGTGATGCATGCGAACACAAAAACTACCGGTTTGGTCCAACATGGCCTCGCAGTTTGCGAGCGCTCGCAAACATGATGTCCACGTCGCAGTATGGAGCCAGTTCCTGTACTGATGTGAAATACCAGTGGCTCGTCCAGCTCTTCCAGGATTTTGGGGGGAGGTTGCTGATGCCATGTGCTCGCTGCTATGGCGCGTGCCGATGCCCCAGAGTGACTCTTCAAACCATGTAAACCATGTAAACCATGTAAACCATGTAAGCCATGTAAACCATGTAAACCATGTAAACCATGTAAACCATGTAAACCCTACACCCTAAACCCTGAAGTGGATGTCCTCTCGGATTCGTTGAGCCGTGCTGTTGGCGACCTCGGGGGGCTTTTGAAATCCCTCAATGCTCAATGGGCTTGCTTCTGCTTGCAAGAACGACCCAGGGTGCCCAAAGATCACGGCAAAGAAACATCCTACTGCAATATAGGGGCCCAAAGAATTAGAACAGAGGTTCGGGTTATTAGTAGTTTAAATTCTACAGGGACCACAAGGGAATACTATTAGTAGGACCACCTCCCCCTCTCCCCCCCCGTGACAAAAAACCCTGCGCCTGAAGGCATGCACTGCTCTTGGCTCCGCACATTTCGCTTGCACACATCGATCTTCGTGATGACCTCTGTATTATGTTTACACATCCCTTGCGACATGACCTTCGGTTGGGGCCCTCGTCGGGACAAATGCAATAACTGGATGGATCTTCGCGCAAAAGGAAGTTCATCTGCAGTCTCAGTAGCTTTTCCCTGCACCCGCGGTCATGCAGTCTTACCATAACGAACCAGGAAGCACTTGGCTAAAGGCAGTGAAGAAAACTGCACAAAACAAACAGCACAAACAGCACAAACAGCACAAACAGCACAAACAGCACAAACAGCACAAACAGCACAAACAGCACAAACAGCACAAACAGCACAAACAGCACAAACAGCACAAACAGCACAAACAGCACAAACAGCACAAACAGCACAAACAGCACAAACAGCACAAACAGCACAAACAGCACACAATCAGCAAACCTCAAAACCGGTCCAAAATTCCAAGCCCAAAAACCGGAAGCCCCCCTGCTCTTCAGGCGCAGGCGATGGTGTATCTAACGCTCCGCCGCCTTGGAGAATCGAACCAAAACAACATTGCAAAGGCCTTAGCTTCAGATTTCGATTGCCAGCACCTGGGTGCAGCGCTGGCTGGTTCTTAGTATGGCATGAGGGAATTACCCTATATAGTCCCTTCAAGGGTACAGAAAGGGCCCTAATTCCCTCATTCCCTACTAAGAACCAGGGGGTCTTCTCTTACCAGTCCTGAGGCGTGCACTGAGCTTTGGCCACAAGGTGCAGGAGCTGCTTGTCAGCAGGTAGGAGCCTTTTTTGGAGCATTGACCACCAGAAAACGGCCTATGCCGGCAGAAGCCAGTTTCGATCGATGTGCAAGATGCACGCTGCCAGGCGGCTTGTGATTTCGAGCGTCCACGAGGTGGAAGATGTGCCTTGGATCAAGTTTCATTCAAGTTGAACATATGTCGCCATCTCACATCGAAACTGGGAGCTCGGCTTCAAAGCATTCCGATTCCGAAGATAGTCGTAGATCATGTTCGGAAAATCCCTGGGCACAGTGAGCAACATGGGCAGTGTGGCTCGTGCTATAACAAAGACCCAAAGCTCGGTGCTCTTGCGACAACAGCAGTTGCAGTTGTGCTAGTGTTTGAGGTGGCTCGGCTACGTGAAACAATGCTTAAGAAGCTTTTGCAATATACTAAACCAACCCATGCTGAGAAACATTTTTCTACCAAAGCCCCAGAACTTCGAACGATTTCAACCCTCAACTGCGAACCTTTACCTCAATCAAATGAGAACCCGAGAGTCGCAGAACCTTACACCCCGAAGCTTCAACCGTCTAAGCCTCAACGCCAAGCTGAGAAGTCAAGCAGTTCAGAGTTTCGGGTGAAATTCCAAGGGTGGCTACATGTTCCCTTAGTATGGTCCCTCAGAAGGGGGACCTTTTCTATACCCCTTGTATGCCCTATAACACCCAAGGGCACGTACTTCAGAACCCTTAAGGGGAGGTATGGGACCATATGAAAGGCCCATGCAACAAACCTTAGACTCATGGTTTTCAGGACTTCCTGTGGTCTTCATATAGGGGCCTGCATAATTTGAATAGGGTTTTGGGGGGACATTGTAGTATATGAATAAAGGAACCACAAGGGAATACTACTAGTAATTATTCCGACCCCTATAGTAGGTCTCAGGAGCGTTTGTTGTGTGAATTCCTGGGCCGGGCAGCATGGCCTGGTGATCTTGGCGGCTCCGGGGATGTCCGCACATCCCAGGCCAGGGGAGTCCACCTCATAAGCTGCCGAAGAGCAGGCAGCCGACAACTTGGGATGTTCCCCCTGATACTAAGAGTCCTTAATGGGGACTATGACCGGAGGGTAGTATAATCCCGTTTAAGGACTGTTAGTATAAGGGGCAGCATCCCAACCGACAACTGTCGTGCTCTAGACATGAGCAAAAATTTCCAGAAGGCCAGCCGTAAGTCGTAGTCTCTGATGTTGGATTGAGCCCGGGGCGAGCATGAAATGAGGTAAGCCGGCTCTTTTCTGGTTGACCTGACCATCCGATGCCAACGTCAGGGCAGATGGATGCAAGTCCGTTGGGAGCTAGGCCACAGGGTGAGGAAACCCATTGACATTCTCCATCTACAGTGACGCATTGGAAGCACAAGCAACCAGCAACACAGCCAGCACATGACAACAGTCTGCATTTGGGTCGAGGGTGAGCATCCCGAACGCGTGAAGTCGGGAAAACAACCACCATTTTAAGGAGCATCCAGCATTCAAGGAAGCCAAATGAAAACATGCAGGCCAGACCATAGCTATGCTTCAAGAAACGCGACTAGGGTTTTTTGGGTTCAACGGTTGGCTCACTAGACCCAGGAGTAACCTAGGAATGCAAAAGGTGCCCTTTTTGGCTTACAGTGGCTTCTAAGGGGACCTAAGCCCATATAAACGGAGACTAGGTCCTAGTTCAGGAAGGGTTCACAGGCTCCATCCCGGGGCCTCGTAGAAGTACAGCTTCCGCGTGAATGCCCGCGTTTTGGAGGCGGGGGCGAACTGCAGCCGGTGTGAACATTTATGATTTTGCATCTGTTAACCATAGATGGAATTCTCTAAATAACTTGAAATACAACAATCATTCTTATTAACTTGGTAAAGATATATATATATATACATATATTCAGAAGTAATATAGCTAACAAAGGATTTTCTATACATTGATTCGGGGGGATTAGTTTGCAGATGTTAATTTGGAAGAACACTACTTAGAAACCACTAAATTATTTGCCTATCTACTTGAGCACACCCAACTGAGGAGTTGAGATTCATTAAGCAATTAAAACGCTGTAATTAAGAGGTCTTATCATGAAAACAAATACATTTACCACGTGTTGCGTCTACTTGATGACCCATACCAGAGAGTGAAAGAAAGAAACGATGGTCATGAATTGGCATGATGTGTACAAACCAACAAGGCTCATGCATCATTCAAAGGAGTGGCAGCAGATTATTCATCACTTGAAACGTATCCAAATATGTTTTGGATATAGATTAGTTACATTGAACGACTCCTAGATATCAGAGAGACGTAATATTGAAGTTGAGAATTAAGATTAAGAAGCCACTACTCAAGGCTTAGTAAGCAGATAGAGATGGATAAATTTAGTATACGGGCTACTACTTCATTTGAGAGGGATGTATGTTTTGAGGAATGAAGATATCAACATTTTTCTGTATAACCCTCCCCCCCCCCCTTCACCCCCTCTTTCTCCTCAAGGGGGGTGGGTATACAAATGTTCCTTTCAAATGTATATATTATTTGCTATACATTCTAATACACTCTACGAAAATTTATACATATGCATATATATATATATATAACACAGGTCAGGTTCAAGCAGAGATCTGCAAGTACGCCGGCTGGGCCTTCGTCAATGAGCTAAAGAGAGCATTGATCATGGAGGACTTGCCCTGGCACACGGCAAAGAAATGTGCCTTGATTCTTCTAAACCCTAAACCCTGAACCCTAAACCCCAAACCCCAAACCCTAAAGCCTAAAACCTGAACCCTAAACCTTTCACGCCGGCTGACCGGAACACCATAGCATTTACAAGTCCATCAGCACTTCGACCTCAATTGGCCCTGAAGCAATCTACAGCTTTGCAATGCCGGGCCAGTTCCCCTTCAACGCATCTTGGCTGGACAACTATCAGAAACCATCGGGGCGCACCGAGTTCGTGCGACCGATGAAAAGTACCTCAGGCCGATGGCCAGGCATGTCCGAGGGTGCCTGAGTGTACCTGGCGCTGTCGTCGAGGGTCGAAGGTTCAGGTCTGTACAGGTTCAAGAGTCTTTACCGCTTTATGGCCAAAGCTGGCAGTAGTCAAGAAGGCAGAGCCCTTTTTTTCGCTGAAACCCTAAGCCCTAAACTCTAAACCCTAAGCCCTAAACAGCTTCTGTTTACGAGCCTAGGGCCGCTGAATTCTTTCAGCACGTGCGGAGAGCGCCTTCCTGCTTTCTTGAGACATCTGTACCTGGGTTTAGGGTTTAGGGCTTAGGGTTTGGGGTTTGGGGGTTAGGGTTTAGGATTTAGGGTTTAGGGTTTAGGGGACTGTTGGGGGCCACTCTGCGTCCGGTGGGTGTCATGGGGGTTTCCGAAATTAGGGGTGCCTTATTGGGGTCCTTCTTATACGGCCATCCTGCTGTTGGGGGTCTATATTGGGGGTCCCTTATATTCGTAAAGCCCCATGTAGTTCTGCTTGCAGGGCTGTATGGGGTGCAAGATGCGGCTTCCCCCCATTGCTCTTTCCAAACCTCTCATGCCCAAAACACGACACAGCAAGCAACAGCAAAAGCAAGAGCAAGCAATGAAGTCCAGCCTCAAACAAGTGTCACTTGATTTGCCCCCCCTCCGACCACAAACAAACAAGAAGCAACATGATTTAGTCCTTCGTCTCGAAGAAATCTGAAGGGCATGTCTCAGGGCCACTCAAGCCGGCAGACAGAGTGAGCTACCACAGTGAAAGGGTTTAGGGTTTAGGGTTTAGGGTTTAGGGTTTAGGGTTTAGGGTTTAGGGTTTAGGGTTTAGGGTTTCGGAGTACAATCTCAGCTTGTCTGAAGCCATCAGCTCAACTGTGTCCCACATGCTCGGAATTTCTGCCAGGCGGCTGCTGCGCGCAGCCACGGCTCAGGAAGTGCAGGGTCATGTCGTTCTGGGGGACACATCAAGAAACTTCAAGGGTGGTGGAGGAGCTATGCACGGGATTTTGATACTGTTGATGCGTCTGTATGACCGTCTGTTGTGGGACTCCGAGCTCAAACTGCTTGATTTCCAGAGCCTGTATCCTAGCCGAACCTCCTCGACAGTCCACGGCTTCACCAAGGCTCTGGCTCGGGGAATGCCAAGCTCGTTCATGATCTCACATGCCCGAAGGGCCTTCCCAAGCGTGCGTGTTGTTGGCACAGGCATCACAGTTTTGGTTCGTGCAGGGACCGATCGGACATCGAAGTGATTCAGCTTGCTCGGCTAACAGCTTGGATGCCTCGACACCTGGAGTCTGACGAGTGAGATGTAATGCACGGTTTCGTCTTCTGCCCGGTTGCAGAACTCGAAGTCTTTTGTGTGTCACTTCCGCTTCTTGCAGCCAGTGTCACATGGCACTTCCGCTACATGGAGGCACACTGCGCTAGACATCTTCAGGAGGATATCACAGGCTTGGGGCCTTGGGAAGTGGACCAAGTCACTCTTGGTTTGCAGGGTGCAGGCTCGAAGAGGTTCCAAACCCTGGCTCGGTGAAGCCTAGAAGAATCACGCTGCGCGAGTCTCAAGCCCTGCATCCAAAAACAACTACGGATGCTTTGCTTACAGTGGAGCTTTCTGATCAAATGCTGCCTCATGCCAGGATGAAAAAAGCACTCGACACAGCCCGCTCATGCTGCCAATTACTTCTTGGAGTGCGCTACGGCAAATTGAGCCCCAACGAAAGTGCTTCAACCTGCAAGAAGAACTCACAACGAGCCACACATGTTCATTTGGGTGGTTGTCAGAATCCTGGTCCCTTTTTGGATCCCAGTAAAAATACAGCACCTAATATCCAGGGTACCCCAAAAGGGATCATAATATTTGGACATGCGCACCTGCGGCACCAGGCGAGCCCGGCCGTACCAGCGGATGAGTTGGTTGAACGCCTGTCCAACACTGCCTACAGCGCCCTTCGTTTTTTGCTGCATGCCTCTTGTGGGCACTCGTGCTTTTGTCCGGGGTTTTGGAGTGTGGCAAGCGGTCCTAATCGATGCTAAAGCACTCGCCCTGCCCCTGTTCCCTGGTTGCTGAAGCCCTTGCTTTACAGGCCAATGCCTGCTGGGCTTGCACCCTCCAGAACCCTGAACGATTCACTCAAGGCTCGAAGAAACACGCCCGCCTCAGTGAGCATCCTGTAGCGTCGGTTCGGAGTGAGCGCCAGGATGTCATTCTGCAAAGAGCTCAGGCTGCGGGGATGAGGTTTATAAAGGGTTAAGTACAGGAGCATTACTGGATTTGGCAGCTGCCGTTTCTGCTGTAGCAACCATAGGGATGATCCTGAGTCTGATTGCTTGCCCCACATTTTGAGTTTAGGGATCGCAGTTTGAATTTCACTTCGTGAGGGATTGGATGCATCAATAACTGCGGCTTCGGCTGCGGACATGTTTAGCTCAAAACAATATACACCCCCGCCAAGTGGAAAGTGTAAATAGCTTCAGTACCTGAGCAACATAACGGTCAATCATGTTTCATGAATGGATGAGTTGATAAAACTGGCCAATTTCATGGTAGAGCTAATGGCTATTGAAATTCGCCTCTTAAATTAGACAGCTTTAGCGATGTGAAACAAATCAGTTATGCGATTTACGGTCTTTTACTTGATGAACTCGTACACTAAATGCATTGTTCTATACGTTCTATATGTACTAAGCGGATGGGAGTACTATTGCTGTTAGAGACCAATTGCTTTGTAAATCGATTAAGCGAATTAAATGCGTAGAATGCAGTACAGAGCTTGCCCAGGACTTTATTCGAACCAAATATAAGCACCTGGCTTCATGAGTTTGAATCATACAATGGGCCCCGACTTTATGTATACTTGTCATTTACACTTATTGAACAAGGGGAGAACGGAGTATCAGTGAGGGTCAGACTCAACGAACGATGCCGTTACTTAACATACCTGTCTAATTGGTGGGCGATGTGCAAATTAAAAGCTGCAGACTGCAGACCTATGTCAAGAGCTAGTGGAAACTAGCCCAGCTCCAAATTGAAAGAATATATGGTTTGAGGCTGCTTTCGTCACAAGAATGTCTGCCAGTCCAACCGCGAACTTCCTCGTACGGTCATAGAATATGACTGTGGTGTTTTGTTATGGGGGATGGTAGCATATTAGCAAATTGGCTCATAACCACAAAGAAGTGTGAATAACCCGGAGGAGCGGGTAGCATGTAGTAACCTTCGGATTTCTCGATGTCTCACCTTGCTGCCATTGCCATGGTGCTTGCCAGCCAGCACCAGTTTACCCTCGCCCCTTCTTTCGAATTGCTCTGCAAGCTTCAAGTTGACAATTCTCAATCTAAACTAGGATGGCCCTTAAAACCCTCTGAAAAACATTCCTGAATGTGACCCTCTTAAGCCCAATAAGGGAAAATATAAAATGTCCCAAGGGCCTACCTAGTAAAGCAACCTGAAACAGGAAGCCACAGCAATCTGCAGCAGTCCTTGATTTCCAGTAGGCTTTCGATCTCTTGGGAGACCCGGGCGCCATGTCCTGAGAAGAGGCACCACAGTGGCCGGGACAGCAAACAAGATGTCACGATCGCAGCTTCTTTGATGGTGGGGGATCCATCCTAACATCCCAAGAAGCTACAGCAGCATCAAGTCTAGATCGACCCATGGAAGTTCAAGGGCTGAGGAGCTCCGTTGAATGACTGGAAGTTCTGGGAGGCAGGGGCCTGGGGTTTAAGGTTCAAACAGGGTGCCTACATTCTCCGGCTCCTGCCAACAGCTTCGGCATCTGCTCCGCAGTGGACTGCAGGTAAAGCGCCGAAGACTGCCAGGCTTTGTTGCGCAAGACAGGCTCACGAGCCCTCAGGGCTCAGGGTTAAGGGTTTAGGGATTTGGGAGTCTAGATGAAATCAAGCCGGAGTCGGAGACTTGCTCAGGGCAAGACGCAAAGTATTTCAGAGCCTGATTACGGCTCCAGATGGGTGCTCTACTGGTGCCTCGTGTTGCAAACATCTTGTGTGACATTCTGCAGACAGCCTCGAGGGTACTCTGAAAGACACGCGAGCCAGAAGTGATGTACTTGGTCCTGGCAGGCACTCGCAGACCAGGTTTCAGAGTGTCCACGCTTTCTACGCCCCAAGCATTCAGGTTTAGTTTGTGTGCTTGCTTGCATGGAAATGCGCGTAGGTGCCGGACCGCCCACATTTCTTCTGCAGGCGGGACAAGTGGTAGGCGGCTTCTACAGCTCCGACCTGCGGCGACAAGGGTCAGAATGTTGATGTTGCCGTGATGTTTCATGGCACAACCATACCCCTACAGCTCCCAAATCCAAGGGCCTTTGCGCAGGCGTGCGCAACGTAGCGCAATGTCTGGTAGCCACAAGGCCTCAAGGCTTGTCAAGGCTGGACCATGGCATGTGTTGAACAAGAGTTGCTTAGGTTCCTTGCCGGCTTCAAAAAGAAGCTCAACATGTGCCACACATCAACCAATGAAGGTCGGAATCTTAAGCAAATTTCTAACTCTTCTCTAAAGCGCTGGAGATCCAGGACTCAGAGATCAAAGGCTGTATCTATGTTTCGTCTTGCGGCTGGTGGGGGTTTCCAAAACCAGACACTATTTGCATTTAGCGTTGCGTGCAACACAAAGTGCATTCTTTGCTGTGGTGAGAGCAAGCTCAGAAGTTCCGATACTTCCTGTTTCTTGTGCACAAACAAACACAAAAAGATGCGAACAGAAAGAATGAATATGGTCAAATAGGAATAGAGCTCTGCACTCAGCACAGCTTAATGGATACGAATGTTTAGGTACTTTAGACACTGCCGGTCCAATTTACTTCTGATCAGAGCCGCTTCCGAAAACAAGGCGAGAATCGGAAGCTGAAATTCGGGATGTAAGGGAACATGCTGTCACAAGCACTGTCTGCAGCTAGATTTCACGGCGAACAGGTGGCGTCTTCGAGTGGGAACCGTAACCGAATACATACTCCCCCGGCGTCCCCCAGCTTGCAAGACCAGGCTCGACTGCAGGATAAGGTCGAAGGGGATGGCTACTGATTTGAATGAATTGCAGACACCTGCTGGCCCTTTGTATTTCGGGATACACACACACACACACCCACGCACGCACGCACGCACGCACGCACGCACGCACACCCAAAACAACCGCAACCCAAGGGAGTCACAACCACTCGTACCACACCCACTAGGCCATGGCCTCAAAGACTACTATCATCACAACCACTGCAGCTACGTTTGCCACCACTACCGCCACTCCTACCATGACTACTGATACAGGAAGAGACTTGCCATGACGCTACTGATCTGACAGTGCCATTCGCCTTCTTCAATACACGAATTGCTCATGTTGCCTTGCTTCTACTTTTTGCATTTATTGGGGGGGTGTCCCTTCTCCGAAATTTGTTGGTGGAGTCCCTACTGAAGATTGTTTTGGATTCTTGTAAGCGAGAAGCTGCACGTGCAGAATTTCGAATGTATACAAGACTGAAGACTCCGTGACACACGAGTAGATGAGTGACGATACGAATAGATACAGTCTTGGATACTGAAAAAAAAACGATTCGCGATCTTTATCGGCTCAGCTACAAACCCCAAACCCCAAGCAAACTTCACATACACCACATATAAAGCCCATGTCCCCCCCCCCCCCCCCCCCCCCCCAAAAAAAAAAAAAAACACGCTCGGGATCTCTGGAGCCGCGGCGTCTGACCGTCTGGGCCGGCCGCAAGCCTTGGTGGGCAAAGCCTACAGAGTTTGCATGCATGTATAAAATATATATATATATATATATATACATATATATATATACATTATGTATATATATATATAATAGTGGGGATTGGAGCGGGCCTTGGACTAGGGTATAGATTGTAAGCTGTTAAGGTTTTGAAGATTGCTCATGAAGGCATTGCGTGCATCTGGCTCTTGTCTCTAGGTGAGTGTGGCACCATCAGTCCAGCGACCTGCTGCGCTGCTAAGCAAGTCACGGTCCACGCTGGGGGAGCTCAAAACTGATAGCACCGGGATGAAAGCTATGTCGCCCATGTGGCACTTGAGCTGTGACAGCTCCCATGTGCAACTCTCGAGCGCTGCTGCGTCGTGTGGTCCATGCTGAAGCGGCCGAAACGTAGTTTTCGCTCGCCCTCTCAGTCAGTGCCATAATTACTCACCCTACTCAGGCAAATCTCTACTACTCAGAAGCTGCACAAACAACACACACAGCACGCCAAAGTGCAAGTTGCCGTGCAGCCTCTGCCCAAACCCTACGCTCTGAGAAGCCGTCCCCCAAAGCCCAAAACAGAGACCTTCAGCCCCAAACCCCAAACCCCCAAACCCCAAAACCCAAACCCTAAACTCTAAACCCTAAACCCCAATCCTAAACCCTAAACTCTACCGGATACCCCACTCGAGCTCCCGCATCCTGGGCCCCTGGCTTTGCGGCCTCGGCTGTCTTGTCCAGGCGTGTCAGCGCCACGGCGGCCCAGCCACGACCGTCACCCTCGACCAGTACTTTCCAGGTGAGGGATTTACATGGGTTTCCCGAAATACTGGTACCCCCTTGTATACCCCAAATAGAATATTCTATCCCTTTAAGGGATCCCCGCCCCCCCCCCCAAAAGGGTACCCCTGTTTTCGGAAACGGTTGGGAGGGGGAGGGGTTACAGTCTTTATTTATAAAGGGACCAGAAGGAATACTACTCGTAATTATTCCGCTCCCTATATTTGGGGGGAACTCAGGGTCTCGGTCTTTGCAGTTTACGGTTAAGGGATGCTTCGGGATGTTGAGATCCTGCTATGGGGGTGGTGCACCTGCCTGAAGCCCGAGAAGCCCGACGTAAACCCCCTGCAACACCCTGGACCCCTGCCGCCGCTCGCCCCCAGAATCTCTGCTGAGGCCATCGACCTCAGGGTGCTCGATGCCAAAGCGGACGATGCGCATCGGATCCTCGTAGAAAGGTGTCAGAATTGACAGCCCTAAGCCGAGGAGCTCAGGTCCAGTGGCGGACTATACGGATGCGAGTGCGGGTTGAGAGCCTTTCTACGGATGCTATGAGGGCCAGACAGATGACCTACCCAGATGACGCAGCAACCTGGAAGATGCCCCGATGTTTGGGGCACACATCTCCTCGGAAAAGGGTCCACCCTGTCAGTGTCCGAAAGACAACCAGGAAACTCCCAAGTGTCCGGAAGCAGCACAAACAGATACCAGCATGCACCAGCAGTAGCTCCGTGGAGCCCTGATGAGTTCAGACCGTTTTACTCAGCAGCCAAAGACATGTTGGCCTTCGATTGCGGGTGAGACTGCGAAATAATCTCTGAGCATGCAAAGTTACTGCAAGTGCTACTGCTGCTGTTGCTTGTGCACTGCCACCACTACCACAATAACTGCTACTACTACCATTGCAACGACGACGCCTACTATTGCTAGAACCACCACTGCCACCACTGCCACTACTACCACCACACCACTACACACTACTACTGACTACCACTACCACTGCTGCCACTGCTCTACTAGTGGCAGTCGTCGTAGTTGTTGTCGTAGTCGTTGGTCATTGGTCGATGGTGCTGCTGCAAAAGCACAACCGCCACTACTGCCACCACCAGCAATGCCACCACTGCTGCTACCACCCACCTCAGTCAAGTCGTCTGCTACTTTCATTGCTACTTGTAATTGGGAAAGGATAGCATAACAATAAGTCATGTGGTGAAACTGCTAGCCTGAAGCGTCTCTTTTTCCAGACCCTTCTGGCTTCTGCTCCACCATTGTGGAGATGTGTGGATGTCATATTACACCGATGCTATGTATTCCGGGCTTTTACCTCAACAGTTCGGCAAACTATTCGGCAATCCTTGACAGGACGTAAGGGGAAGCTTCGATGACGGTGAGACCCGGCAGTCATGCAGGTCCTTAGTGGGGTTTAGGGTTAAGGTTTTAGGGGTTAGGGTTTAGGGGAAGCCAAGACTTCTAATGATGGCCTTGCTGTCGGAGCATGTGCTGAGAAATGCACAAATATACAAGCAAGGACAGGCTCTTCCCGAAACTAGCCCTCGACAAAACCCTATGCTGAGACACACCAAACGATAGAAGTTATGGCATAGCTCATGAAAGACCCTAAGCTCATTTGAGATCGGCAAGAAACAAGTGTCAGTGCCCCACCAGTTCCGGGCACCGCGCTCTGAGCCTAGCGTCGTGAAGCATGGCTCCTCGGGACAAGGGTAGAGTCTGAGCATCTCGCAAGCATTGTTCTACCTGGAACCTGCAGCCCCAGCTATTTAGGCAAACCTTTTCAGGTACAAGGATGATAGAAACTTTCATCTCGCACTTGCGACCTGGAAAGGCTTTGAGAATCTGTCAGCTCCAGGGGGTTCATTCCGTAAGTCGCATTCGCCATGTAGGATTCGGTTTAGGATGGTTTAGGTGTTAAAAAAGTTCAAGACCTGCCTTTGATCCGAAAAAATGAGGAAAAGCGCTCCCTTCGACCTCATCTACCCAGAACTGCCACTTACAAGCAGTTAGATGAGAACAGCCGGGGCTATGGTTTAATATCAACGCATTCGGAGATGATGTGTGTGTGTGTGTGGGCGCGCGCACGCGTGTTCCTGACGCATGCTTGCAATGCTCTAGTATTTCCTGTCTGTTGGGCTAAATGTTTAAATCAAATCTTCACTTTGTCGCAAGCACTTGTCGCGCACACGGGAAGAAGTCGTGCACACGGGCAGAACGGCAGCGGTCGCGGACCGACAAGTACCTTGGGCAAGTTTTTGTGTAAGCGCCAACAAAACTTCCCTTGCCTTAGACCCATGAGAGAATGCCAACTTTTGCATTGTTCCGAGTGCTAGCATTGCTTGGGTCTCTACGCGCACATGCTCGCTTTGCAGAACTGCGGACATGGTTTTCATGACTGAGACTCAGTTGAGACCTCAAGCTGACGAGAACCTCCTGGTCCACACGCTGGAAACTTCTACCCCACCCTTTCGGACCTCTCGCTGCCCAGCGAAGACTGGCTGTCGCTTCGCAGGCTACGGCTGCTGTTTCGGGATGCCTGGCAGGGGCTTCAGCATCGAGGTTCGGGCTTCGGATTTCAGGCTTCTACGAGACTGAACACCCTTTGCTTGAAGGGCAATGGCTCGGGCCGTAGTGCCGATACTTTCCGGCCAGCCGTTAGTTGGGGTTCGGGATCCTATCACTTCCACACATTCCCACACGATGAACACAAAGGCTTCAACTGTCTTGAAGAGTGTAGAGACTCACCAGGTTCTCGTTCTTGAGTGCTCCACGTTTGAGCACTTCGTTCACACCCTCGCAGGAACCGGCCGGCCTTCCCTGCCGTCTTCTCTTTCTTCCTGCACTGATATCTGATCGAGTTAAGGTTTAGGGCCTTAAACCCTAATCCCAAGCATCCAAGATTCAACCCCCTATCATTTGGTCGTGGGGATTTGCGCCTGGACCGTTGTGTTCGGTGGCCTCAAAGTTCGGCCATGTTATGGGGGGATTTGTTGTTCCCTAGATGCTTGTTCATGGTATTAGTGCTGCTTGTTCGGGTGTCCTTGAAAGCCTGGGGAGCTCAGCTTCTCCCCTGCGCCGGTCCGAAGCCCTGGAGAGAACCCTACTATAGGGGCCTGAATAATTAGAATAGGGTTTTGGGGGGTCAATAGAGTATAAGTATAAAGGGACCCTAAGAAATCCTATTAGTAGTTATTCCGACCGCTATATAAATATAAAGGAACCACAAGGGAATACCATTAGCTGTATTACATGCGGCGCTAGTCTTTTGACGAAGATAGCTTTATGCTACCTAAGTTCCAAGTAGCAGTCATGTTGATGTGTATGTTGTGTCCTTTACGTAGCTACTCAAGACAAAACATCACGCTTTGATCAAAACTCAACCTAATTGAACGCAACAAGCTGCAACTAGAAATAAAAAGATCTACATTGAAGATATTTCTTTTTCAACGCAAAACCTGGCTTCAAGATGAAAAAGCGTTCTAGCTAACCTTGATCTGCCGCTGTGGACTTAAAACACGGTCTACGACCCCATTGGGTGCTGGAGTAATTTGCATTCTCCCAAACTTCTTTAAAAAGCGGCCTGAATGATTGGAACAGGGTGTGTGAGTTTGTAAAGCAAAAGCATATTAGGAACCAGAATAAGGGAATACTGGTAGCAGTGATTCCGACCCCGGTTGCTTCCCTGTATAGGTCGGTCCTTGCCCTGGCGGACTTTCCACTGGCCTCGGTCCAGACTGAAAAAAAGGCAAAGAAAGTTCTGACTTGTAGGGTTTTTGGGGTTTCGGGTTTCTGACCCCCGAAAGCACAAGACCACAATTCGTTGGATCTTCTGAGTTTTGTGCAAGAAACTTGGGGCCCCGCGATCTAAAAACCCTGGGGCCCAAGGGTCTGCAAGGGATTTTCAAGGCTTTTGGGGGGGGGGGGGGGCAGGTGAAGTGGCACTGCAGACTGGGTTTAGGGTCAAAGTTATGAAAGCAAATTTGAATGTTTGTTATCGCGATAAACAACATTCTAACTTGGTCTGTAGCTGAGATCAGGTTTGGTCAAAGCAGATCGGCAGTAGCTCGCGCTGGGGCTCTGGAACCGTTCTTGAGAGTTGCCTGATGGCTCCGAAGATTGGCGCATGTACCTTCGGATGTTCCCCCTTCTACTAAGAGTCCTGAAAAGGGATTCAATAGGATGAAACTACCCCCTCTTATCATCCCTACTAGTACAAGGGGGAACATCCCAACATGTACCCTTGCCGTGGGCTCACGTCCTTGCACCTGGGTGCGAGCACAGGGCCGGGCCACAGGGACGCCAGCCTTTTGTGTTCAGTAGACCTAAAGCTCCCAAAACACTTCAGCCTAAAGCCCCTAAAAAACCCAAAACAGTAAAACAGAGATCACGCCCCAAACCCAGATTAAAGCCCCCAAAACATTGACAAATAAAACCAAAAACCCAGAAACTCGAAAAACACCGAACCCTGAAAATGATCATCAGGCGCCTACAACCCCAAACCCAAAGCCGTGAAACCCTCAAGCCCTCAAAGCCTCAAACCATCAAAATCCTAAACTTGAAGCTAAACTAAACCCTAAACCCTAAACCCTGAAACCTGAACCCTGAACCCTAAACCCTAAACCCTGAACCCAGAACCCTGAACCCTAAACCTAAACCTCAGCATCGGGCGGAGGAGGCCACCGATGCTGGGCGCTCCTCCTGTCCGGCAGTTCCCGACTTTAGGGTTTAGGGTTTAGGGTTTAGGGTTTCGGGTTTCGGGTTTCGGGTTTAGGGTTTAGGGTTTAGGGTTGAAGAGGTGACATCAACTAGAGCCTCGGTCGGTTCCACGTCAACGGCTTCCCCTAATTCCTGCTTGTTGCTCTTGTTGTTGCCACTTGCAAGCGAGTCCTTTCTTACTGTTTGTTTGTTAGTAGGGAATGAGGGAATGGGGTACACTACATCCCCCTTTAGGGGATTAGATCGGATAACAAGAAAACATTTACAACCTCGACCCTAAACCCTTACACCCCCATACCCTTAAACCCTTAAACCCTTGAACCCTGAAAGCCTGAACCCTTAAACCCTTGAACCCTTACAACCTTGAACCCTTCAACCCGTTAACCCTTAAGCCCGTAAACCCGCAAACCCAAAAACGCTTAAACCCTTGAGCCCTTAAACCCTACCCCTCAAGCCTGAACTCTGCCAAGTTTTCTGCTTAGACACCTGGCCGTTTAAAGCCCAACAGGGCTACGGGAACTCTGCGTGCCATGCTTTTCACCCTGCCTTTCTTCCCTTCTTCATACCCTAGAGGGCAGGTCACACAGCTTGAATTGAAGTCAAAGAAGACCTGGCTCCCAAAAACAGCATTACTGGCAACCAGCCAGTTATCAACCCCTTCTTCGCCTCTTCGCCGGTCTGGTGAAGTGGAAACTGGGCCTCACATCTTTGAGTTCAAAAGGGGTTAAGGGTGGTCTTTGAGGTGGGTTTGAGGGGCTTTGAGGTGGGTTTGGGGCTTTGAGGTGGGTTGAGGTTAAGAGTCCGGAGAAATAGCAGGAGTGCTTGGGATGGAAGCCTACACTTCTCCTGTCGAGCCTCCTGGTCCGTCCATGCTCACGCGTTTCATTCCTTATGCAAACAGTCCTTACCAACACCGCCGCCGCCGAAACCGGCCTCATAGCTTTGCAGGTTGATAAGCTCCTCTTCGTCTGGCCCCCACTCCTGACAACAAAACGCTTGAGTTCTGTTTGAGGTTCGGGGTGCCTCAGAACGGTTCCTGGTTCAGGGCTGAGGGCTTCGAGCCTCTGGCAATCAAATGTCGCAACAGAAGAGGATTTCAGGAGATGGCTCGGAGCCGATACGAATCCGAGGCAACCGCAAAACGTCGGCGGGGTGCAGGCTGTAAGACAGTACCAGGATCCCTATAAAGGGCCTTATCGCCCATGCCATGCTGGTATACCTGTAATCTTGGCTGGTACACTTTCTAGACAGAGTTAGTACTAAATGACCAAGAAATCCCCCTTTCCTGTTCACCCGTGTCATCATGAACCTGTTAACCGCACGAATGAGGGAGATGAAAAGGGCCCCTTTAAAGGACTTATTATTTGGCCCTTTTCACCTCATTCTCCCATCCTGGCTGTTACCTTCACGACTCAACAGATTAACTCCTAGAGACAGAGGTTGTGGTTTAGATGTATCCTGTGGTTGTGAGGAAGTATGTGGTCTAGAGATGAATACCGCAGGACAGACTCAATATTATGGGGGTTCTTGTCTGGTCTTCGTGCGCTCATTTCATTCGTTTTGTTTTCATGCGATCGCTCATTAGTTCGCTCCTTATAAAACCAATCTCATTCATTCACTGGTCTTGTTTTGTTCATGTGCTCACTGCGTTCATTCATTCGCAGGCTCATTCATTCTCTTATTCACACACTCTCTTCACCTTGTATTATTATTCTATTATTAGCATGCCCGGGCAGTAAGAAAAGAATAATATAGGCCCGGGGAATTATTATGCGGGCACACTAATATACTCATTATAAGCCCGCACTACGCTCGTTCACACGTTCACGCAATACTAATAATAGCACGCGTCCTTCGTTCCTTGTCTATTATTATTAGTGCGTTCCCTTGTTCCCATCACTTCGTAGTACCAACAGACAGAGGTTACAGACAGAAGATTCATGGAGTGGTTGTGAATGAGTCTGTGAGTGAAGGTAGTACGTGAATGGTGGACAGGCTTCCTAAAGGTGGAGATAGTACGTTCATGATCTCACAGATGCAGCCAGGATGATACGGTTGTTGCGGGGCGTTCACTTCGTTCACTTGAAATGCAAATTAACGAAGGAGTGAAAGGAGTGAGTGGTCAATTGAACGAAGTAAGAACGAAACCAACCGCCGAACGAGAGAAAGGGGGGCAGTGAACCTATAGAAGTAGTACGGTGTGCGTGCAAAAGGGCTTGAAAATATCATGAAAAACAAAAGGCAGTTCTGTCGCAGCTGTTATGCACACCCCCAAGGCCAACGCTGAAGCAAAGACTCAGTCATGAAAAGCAGTCGGTGCCGAGTTAAGGGCGCAAGCCGTGCACCCCAAACTCAAAAGACCCTACAGACCTTCAATCCTAACAATCTGGAACTATGTCCCATCACCACAGCTCAGGTTTCGGGATACAGGGTTTCCATGAACATTGCAAGAGTCATGGGTTTTGCGGTTACTTGTGTGTGTCAGTTCTGGCACCCATACAAGGCATCGAAGCGCAAACTCCAAAGCGAATAGTTTGGATGACCTCTGCATGTCGGCGGAACATTCGCGCCAATGAATCGAGCCAGATTCTTTTCATCGACCAAACAAACGACAGACCTGAACATGTAAAGGAGCGTGCTACATGTTATATATAAAAGAGAACGAGCTGAGTCCTAAGCGAATTGCGCAGATTCAACTTATGCTCCCTAAACCTGCATCCTTATTTAAAAGAAAAACATCACATCCTGAAAACCCATAAGCCAAGTTCCTGACGTGGAAACCTTGTAAGCCTGAAGCTCCGAGCCTTTGCGACGATGCCATCGTAGATGCGAGACCTGTGCAAAAGCGAAGGGAACCGAAATCTGAGCCACCTCCATCTCACTGGCTAAGCATGTTTCCGTTTGAGGACTTACGACTAGAGGCGCTGCAGGGCTACTTGAGCAGAATTCTGAAGTTCCTGGGCCCCCCCAAACTGCCTTGAGCCGCAAGCCCTGAAACCCTATAAACCCTTTAAACCCTCTAAGCCCCATAAACCCTATAAGCCCTATAAGCCCTATAAACCCTATAAACCCTAGAAACCCTAGAAACCCTAGAAACCCTAGAAACCCTAGAAACCCTAGAAACCCTAGAAACCCTAGAAACCCTAGAAACGCTAGAAACCCTAGAAACCCTAGAAACCCTAAAAACCTTAGAAACCCTAGACCCTACAAACCCTATAAACCCTATAAACCCTATAACCATCTAAACCTTAAACCCAATAAACCCCAAACCCGAAGCCAGGGCTGCGGCTTGCGAAGCTCGAAGAGTATCGGGACCCAGGTTTTGATGTGATCAACCTCAACTTCTGGGTTTATAGGGTTTATGGGGTTTTAGGGTTTATGAAATTTATAAGGGTTATAGGGTTTATAGTTTTTTTTTAATAGGGTTTAGGGTGTATAGGGTTTAGGGTCTATAGGGTTAAGGTTTTTTTGGGTATCGGGAAAGCCCACAGAAGGGTTGTGAGTCTGCTTTAGCATGGAGGCCTACTGAAACTCAAGGGTTGGACCCTTAGCAACAAGTTATGGGCGCCGTTTCTTCTGCGTTGCTGCTTCTGAGTTCCGTGAAGGGTCTCTGTGCAAAAGCGTGGGGGCTGAGGCCACTATGAACGGGCGAGTATGTTTTTCATTCCGCGTTATAAATATCCTCGCTTCTTACGTCAAAGCTGCAGGTGGCAATGCGAGTCCAATACGCACAAACTTGCATGGATGTTGGCCCGGCGCGTGAGGCTACCCCCCTCCATTAGCAGAAACCGTGCAAAACACGGGATGCAAGGATCGTTGTCGGTTATCAAGGAGTGACCGGCGACTAGTGGGCTACTTTGTATTTCAAGAAACGACCGAGTTTGGTGTTCCCTTGCAGCCTCAAGACCCACAAACAAACGAGAAGCGCTAACGCGCGCTAATGGACACAAATACATCGCAATATGATTGTAGCCACTAATGGCAACCTAATTTTTGCATTTTTGTACATGTCCTAGTAAAATGCAGAGGAATTGACGTTTTTACAATGCCTCTGCCACTTCTTCTAACATGGGATGAACCCCCCAATTTCACCCCTATTCGTGTTTCCCCTTCTACGGAAGCTTGCGTGACTTTTGGCGGGTTTACGAAAGTGAGGGACCCCCCCCCGCCCCCTAAGTCCCTGAACCCCTCAGCCCCTAAGCCCCTAAACCCCTAATCCCCAGCCCTAAACCCCAATCCACCGCCCAATTTCGCAAATCCCCCCCCTCCCCCCATCTCCTAGAAAAGGCCCCCCACGTAGGCGACTTCTCCCCGCTGATCGATCTCCGCCTCTGCCACAAAGCCACGGAGCTCGGCCTCCAGACTCGTCTGCATGATGAGCTCAACCTAAAACCCTAAAACCCTAACTCAAAAATGTCTTTCTAATGCAGACTCTAAGCATGCCAATCGATGCTTGAGAGCGTCTTGATTGCGCGGCTGTTCCGCCAATTTTACCGGGCGCAATCCATCGACGCTTCAGTTGCATGTGGCAACATTCGAGCTTAACAAGCTAAAACCTGAACGTGCCACTGTATGGGCATCTGCTGGCAAAAGCGAAAATTGTCAATTGACTATCCATTAGGGCATAGCGCATATTTTGCAAATCCTTTTTCCCAAGACATCCTATGATTCAACTCCAGATCAACCATACATACTTTTTGTTTACTTATGTACTTTGCTCGCGTGAATCTAGCCACATCGGGCCAATAAGTAGCGTACGTTGTTTTCCATATTTCATAGCCAACTTTGGTGGCGCACTCTTCCAACAAAGTACAACACCGGCAACATCAACACTTCCACCCTCCTCAACACCAAGCCTAATCACCAACATCATCAGCAACGCCATCAACATCATCATCAACATCATATCATCAACAGCATCATATCATCAACAGCATCAAACATCAACATCAACATCAACATCAACATCAACATCAACATCATCATCATCATCATCATCATCATCATCATCATCATCATCATCATCATCATCCTCATCCTCATCCTCCTCATCCTCATCATCATCATCATCATCATCAACACATCTTCTTCCACCGCGGCAAGAACATGTCCTTGTCCAGCGAGCGCCTTCAGTGCTCAGCACCGGCCGATCTTCACGGCTTGGCACGCATGCCCTTTGGACGGCTTACTTACGCTACGAAAAACGAGAGCGATCCGCACGCTGTGCATGGACCTCTATCGGCATCGGCAAAGGAATGATGCGGCAGACTATGCGGGCAGGACTCTACGCCCTTCTTGGGAAGTAACGTTCTATGCCGGTCTGAGGCACAGAGGGAGTCTGTTCATGTCCTGACAAAGGTGCTCCAGCCGTTTCCCTTGAAGATACAGCTGACTGGCGATCCACTATGCCCCGTGCAGTTGCGTGTTGCGTAGCCACAGCATGGCCATGGCCCCCAAGCGGCGAGTCTACGCTACCGAAATCACGACTGAGTGCTGCAGCAGACTCGCGAGAATCCTGAGAATCCCGAGTCAACAAGATGATGTATACATGTCACGGCAAGCTTTACTGCACTCGGCTTTCAGTGGCAACTCAGACACTTTTGTGATCAGATTTGAAACTCCCCATCGGCAGCAGTCAGCGAAGTGTAATGGCCTGAACGCGGGGCAGAGCCATGATGCCCTACAACTGCTGTGATGCGGTAAGGGAGCCACTGCACTGCTAACTGAAGAGTGGCACCTGCACGACGTGTGGGATGTGATACATCTGTCGGGTTTTTGTTACGCGACCACTCCTGTACTGAAAACGCGGAAGTTGAAGAAACAGCCATGGTCCTGTTTCAACGAGAGCTTGTCGATACTCTTGCTGATGCCAATGATTGACAAGATGCTGAAGTTCAGGATTATGTTTAGGGCCCGGTGCGAAGATGGATCACCATCCCGAGAGCAGCTCAGCGGTTGCCCAGGGCTTCGCTACTTGCTTTGCTGCAGCTGTGTGCTGCAACGTGTCCCGTTTGAGAGACACTCCAATCAGCTGCCAAACCGACAGGCTGTGGCCAACGAGCAAAAGGCCTCGTGAACCTCCCAGGCCTTCTCTCCCCAAAGACTGTTCCGCTGCGCTTTCCAGCTGCTTCAGCGGGCGAGCGCTGCAGAACTTGTGTGTGACTTCGCCCTGCATCGCCGTCAACAGGAAAGTCAACAACCTCGTCGTGTGCCATGGCAGTTTTGTCCGGGTTCGGAGCCAGCTTTTTGGCTCGATGACAGAACTTCATGACGCACCACCCTCCATCCGGCGTCACCCACTTGGCCGCTTTGAGCTCGGTCCTGGCAACCATTTTCTGAGTTCGCTGCGTGAGTTCTCGGATCAAGCAGGCTAACAGAAGGGTTCTTAGGGATCTTGGTTCGCGAGTCTTGTTCCATTCCACCGAGATGGCATACGTTGCCGGGGACCACGAAGGCTTCGCCATCCGAAGGGCCGCCAGCTGATCTTCGTGTTGGATCAGCAAGCGAACACGGAGCCGCATGTGTTCGGTCAAACTCCCTGTACACGTGTGACGATTGCCCCTGGAGGCTGTCTGCACAGGGCCCCGCTGCTGCCGGGCATCCTCCTCCTGTTTCGGTCGCTTGCTCGGCTGGTCCTTGGGAGGCGCCGGGCTTCAGCGCAGGATGACAATGAGCGAATATGTCTTCCGGATTGAGGCCACTCGGGTCGACATCCGACCTGTCGTTGATGAAATTCTTTGACGACACAAACCTGGAACAAGACTACGCACTGAATCACGTGACGACCTGGGCAAGGACAGTCATGGTCACGCGTGAGCTGTCGCTTAAATGTAGCACAGAGTTTCATGACAGAGCCCTTTTGCGCGATGCTCGCCCACGGGCTCTGTCTGGGCATGCAACCACCTTAGTGTCGTCAGCAAAAACCGTGATTGTCGTATTGCAGAATTGTAGTTTTGCAGAATTGAGTATTGTTGTATGTTGTATGTTTGTTGTTGTTGTTGTATGTTGCCTGTGAGTTCTTGGAGACGTGCGGCAAAAAATTGGATTTGTTGCCTGTCATAAATTGGATTTTCATACGATTGATTTGTTGCCTATGCTTTGGTACGGCAAGAAATTCGATTTGTTGATGCAGGCTGGTATACTCCGCCACACGGAAAAAGTTTTATGAGCAAAGGCTCAACCTGAAGTTCAACAGCGGAGTGGCGCAGTGGTTAGCGTGTTGGGCTCATAACCCAAAGGTCCCTGGATCGAAACCAGTGCTTTATTTTTGAGTACAATAAAGGTTATGCTTTGAGTAGGACCCAGTGGCCTAATGGGCAAGGCGTTGCTTTGCGAGGGCTCTTCAGCCTTTGACGCCAGCAAACTATGGTGGTTCGAGTCCACCCTGGGTCGTTTTTTTTTGAAGGCCGACTTCTGAGGGGGGCCTGGCTGCTTGTCCGCGTGAGCCGTTCACCCAAAAACTCCTTTTCAGCCTTCAAATCACAGGCAACAAAATAAAAGTGAATTTCGCATTTCGAAAAAAAGCAGAAAACTCCACTGTTTCTCAGCGTATATCTTGCCATACAACATCATACAACATCATACATTAAACAACATCATACAACGTCATACAGCATACATCATCATCCAACATACAACTCGTACAACATACAACATACAACACAACAACATACAACATACAACACAACAACATACAACATACAACACAACAACATACAACACAACAACATACAACACAACAACATACAACACAACAACATACAATACAACAACATACAACATACAATACAACAACAACATACACAAACAACAACAAACAACAACATACACAAACAACAACAACAACAATTTACTCTCTTCACTTGTAGTATATTCACCCTGAGAATGAGTGCAAGAAACCACACCATGAGGCTTTTGCTGCACCAGGTTGTTTTAATGGGGGTTTTTACGGGGCGCTCTTTGTATTCTCTTTTTTTTTTATGCGCCCCTTAAACACAATTATCTTCTTTCAACTAATCTCAGCAGATACAAGTGAATGAAATGAACGCGTGATCTGTGAATTAGCGAAAGAAAGAAGATAATAGGGGAAAAAGGGGGTCATAAAGGAGAACACGAAGACAATACCAAAAGCCCCAACAAATGCATTAATTCATGCGCACAGTACGCTTATAATATAGTACATTTATTGGGTTTTTGGGGTTCACTTCGTTCACTTATTATTCTGTTCTTTGCGTTCGCATTGTTCACGCTTTATTAATACTAACCGGGTGTGGGACGCATGACACTCATTCCCCGGTTACACTTTTAATGGGGTTTTTTGACCAATCATCGGTTAACCCTTGATTTGTGGTTCGCCAAGGATAACAGGTTCTTGAATCCCAAGAGCTCCTACAAAAGGATTCTGATGGCACCTCCGTGTCGGCTCACTTGTTTCGTTCGTTCATTCATTTCGTACACTTGTAATATAAATTCACGCGTGTACTCATTCATTCATTCATTCATTCATTCATTCATTCATTCATTCATTCATTCATTCATTCATTTCATTCATTCATTCATTCATTCATTCATTCATTCATTCATTCATTCATTCATTCATTCATTCATTCATTCATTCATTCATTCATTCATTCATTCATTCATTCACTACACCTATAGTATTCTCTCCTTTGTTTCGTTCAGTTTCACGTGATCACTTCGTTCCTTGTAAACTCACAATAATATTCTCTTCACATTATTCTATTATTATTATATGCGCCAGTTAAAATACTATGTGGGCGCATTATACTTCGTTCATATATTCATACGGGCTTCATGCTTCGCTACTCATTATAAGCCCGTATTAATATTATTCACTTCATATTAAAAATACTGAGCGAAGCGTGTACAACTGCCCGGCGGTTACGTGCCCACTTTGAGGCTTCCTTCTAATCCGGGGGCTCACTGGTTGACAGATCTCTCTTCGTAGTTCTATTAGCTGGTTAAGGTGTACATCAGAAGCATCAGTGAACTCATTGAGACCGGACCAAAAGCATACAACAACATAAGGGCCGGGTGTGGTTTGCAAAAAGGACTCTTTGAAATTTGCATTGGGCGCACGTGTGTAGGCTTTCTGGATATTGAATACTTGCACATCATACAACATACAACAACATACAACATACAACAACAGACAACAACAGACAACAACAGACAACAACAGACAACAACAGACAACAACAGACAACAACAGACAACAACAGACAACAACATACAACAACATACAACAAGTATGTTGTATTATGTTGTATGTTGTATTATGTTGTATGTTGTATTATGTTGTATGTTGCATGTTGTTGCATGTTGTTGTATGTTGTATGTTGTTGTATGTTGTTGTATGTTGTATGTTGTATGTTGTTGTATGTTGTATGTTGTATGTTGTATGTTGTTGTATGTTGTATGTTGTTGTATGTTGTGTGTTGTATGTTGTTGTATGTTGTTGTGTGTTGTATGTTGTTGTATGTTGTTGTATGTTGTATGTTGTAGTATTGTAGTGTTGTAGTGTTGTAGTATTGTAGTGTTGTCGTCTTGTAGTATTGCAATAGCTGCGCTTTTAACGTGCGCTTGCGCAAATTGTGCTTTTCAGAAACAGTATACAAGTGGTCTTTTGCAGTATTGTAGTATTGAAGTATTGTATGTAGTATTGTGGTATTGTAGTGTTGTAGTATTTTCTGGATCAACCCTCTGCAGGCCCTAAACCCTAAACGAACCGGAAGTCCCGCGCAGCGAACTGCCTCCGAAAGCTGGCACTTCTCCGCTTCCTGCTTCATGGCCTTCAGATAAAATTAGGGTTTTCGGAATGCTTAAAAAAGTATCATGACAAAGTGGACGGTCGGGAGGGACTGTTACTCTGTTTTCTTCTCATTTTTGTTGTTGTTGCTGTTTTTTTTTTTTATTGGGGTGGGGGGGGGTTAATGGAACTAACCACTGAGCACTATCATACAAACCCGATAAAAAGAAGCCAAACAATGCAAACTACACCAACACCCAATTCAAGGCGTAGAGGGTGTTTCAAGCTCACAACCGCAGAGCAAGGTTAGCTAAGAGTTACTTTTGCTGATCAAACAAAAACATCTACCTTCTCAACCTGACAAGCTGCAACTAGAACGCACAACCTGGCTTCAAGATGAAAAAGCGCGCCTACCTTGGATTTGAGGTCTATTTAGCAGCTGCCTGAATGAACCTCTATGTATCTTCGTTCAGCACCGAAACAAACACTTTGGCTGACTGTCGCTTTGTTCTTTCGACATCTGTTCTTCACCATTTCTCCTTCCTTGACTGTGGTTGTGTGAAGCCGGGCCTAGAACCAAAGACCACAACTCAAAAGCCAGCGCTGAGAAACAAATACCTACAGGACTCGGAATTGCCAAGAAACCTATTCAGGCTGATTCGTTCTGAGCTGCTCACAGTGATGCAATGTTGCTTTCCGTGTTGGGGTTGTGTCTGGAGTGGTGAACATGCATATACACTTAAATACTGAATATGGTCTCCGTTCTGGCTCCCAGCGCACCTCAAGCAGTTCAAGCGTATCACCATTCTTGACGAAGAAATGCAGGACTCGCTCCGAGCCGGCCCCGTGAGACTATGGTTGAAATCCTGCACTCATATCCCTCACCCAAGAAGCCTCCAAGAATCGTCTCACTTCCAACGTCGGCGGGTTCCTTCAGCGCAACGGGGCGAACGTGTGGGTTTGGGACGTCCCTACAGCTGAAGCCCCGAGAGTTCGAGACTTCAAACAGACATCCCTGTCCCCCACCCAAGGTACGCCTGAGGTTTCCTTGAGCGAAATCCCTTTTGTTCGTAAGCTCTCAAAAGAGTTCTCAGCTAACGGCCGGTGCTTGTCGTCTGCCTGTGTTCCCACCTCAAGGTCCCGGGCTGTTGGGTTCGCTTGGACATGGCACAGGGGTAGGCTTTTTAGGGTTTTTTGGGGTTTAGGGTTGAGGGTTTACGACAAGTACGCAGCTTTCAAGGAGTTGCAGGGGGAGCTCCTGACACGCTGGTGTCAAGTTCACGAACACGATCCCCAAGACAGGCGTTTTTGTTTTTCCTTTGTGTACGATGAAACATGCATGCATGAGGCACCATTGCACTCAGGCATAGAGAACCGAAGTGGGGCTGCAAACTTTGGGTGTCGAGTTGCAAGCAGCTCCCCCTCATCTGCATGCAACTCACGGAGGTGGCTAGGGCACCATCCCACTCACGCCTGTATGCCACTCGCAGGCTGGCTATAAAATCAAAAGTCCTTTCAATGCAAGTGAGACTTGCAGAATGCTTTTGCATATAGATTCTGAACTGCAATTTGCATGCTTGCATACATAATGCTGGCGTCAACCTCAAATCCACAAGTGAGCAACAGGGGAAGGTGCAGTGCATCTCTTCCGGGTGCTTCCCCATGCCAAGCACCAAGCTTTAGTGAAACCCTGCACCCTCGGAAGACGAAAAGTAGAGAGGTTCGGGTCGCAGGATTCAAAGAGTCTGGAGGCTCGTGCAGCCTTGGTGAAGATCTACGCCTCTGAACCCTAAACCCTAAACCCGAAACAAGATTCCAACACTCCGGAAGCATCGGCGTCTGAGCGTCCAGGCGTGAATCAGAGACTTTTCCACTGCATCGCGGTCGGGCCTGGAGAGCTGTGTTACAAGCTCCTCCTAACAGTCCTGAGTAGGGACTATAGTACCCTATGTAAGCTCTTAGTAAAGGGGGGAACATCCGAAATGGTACTATAAGGTACTATAAAGAGAGTTTTGGGGGTTCTGTAGTATACTTATAGAGGCCATGAGGGAATGCTCTTGGCCGTGAACAAATCTTCTGCCAAGCTCTGGCTCTGCCAAAACCCTTACGCCCGACATGCAAAGTCAACGAAATCCTTGAACTCAGCCCCCCAGAAAACTGAATACCCTAGCCCCCAAAAAAGGCTAACCTCTTATCTGTAGCAGGATCTTATGCAACCAAAAAAGTTAAGGGTTAGTACCCAGCCCCTGACCACCCCCTAAGAGTCTCCGCCGAGCACCCCTGCAAGCCTCAGCCCAAATCTAAAATTTCAGGATCAAGCGGACATAATGTCTGAAGCCCGAAACGCATCCTGAACCTCCCTGAGTGCCGAAACGCTCAAGCCTCAGCCTCACAAAGACCGAGGCCGCCACGCATTCTGCTGCGTGTCCTCCTGATCTTCCTCGTCCATGCCACGCCTGAGCATGTGGAAGGTTTATTTTCACTGGGGTTGTTTGGGGGGTCTAGGGGTTTTTGGGTTTTAGGCTGTTACGGTCTCGTCCGCTTCTAGGGGTTTTGGGCTGTCACAGGGTTTAGGGTTTAGGGAGTGTTCTGCTGAGTGTTCTAGAGTTCCCCGTTTTTGAGAACTGTTAAAGTGAGCGAGGCATTGCAGGAGATTGCGGGTCAAAACTTGTAGCATTTACACTCCGGAGGTTTTTGACTGCAAGGCTCTCAAGGTGTCACCCCAACAGGGTGCAAGGCTTTATGCTTCAATGCTGTGGCAAGCACTTGGATCTTCGTGGCCGAGATCTGAGAGGAAACCCAAGCGTTTACTTCTCGCTGCTTGTTGTTCTAGCGTGTCTTTTAACGTAGCAGGGCAGCAACTTCAACATTCTCTGACGACAGGCTTGCAGAACTCCCACGCCAAAAAACACGCTCAAACCTGTATGAAGCAAATGGGGAGATCCAAACTTCAAGCTCCATTTGCCGAGGCGCTTCTTGTTTGCAAGGCTGCTGGAGAGGCCCTGAACAGGCTTTGTTCTTGGGGCTTCAGGTTTTAGCAGATGCAGAGGGGCTGGGCTAACGGTTCAGGGCTTTGTGCGCTTCCGCGCCACCTAAAGACCTGCTATAAACAGACCAGCCCTACACCATAAGCCCTAAAGCTCCAAAACCCCAAGACTAAACCCAAAGGAATGTCAGGGTTTCGGTGTAGTCTTGGCTGGCTTGGAGATCCTGGAGCAACGCCGCTGCCACAGGGTCGCTGCGTTCGTGCATCGGGCTCCGGAGCAGCCCTGTTACACTAGGGTATTTCCCAAAATCGTGAGACCGTGAAACCTAACGCCTAAACCCTGAACCCTAAACCCTAAACCCTAAACCCTAAACCCTCACAGCATCCCCAAGCTACGGAAACTTTTCCTCGCCTGCAGCTCCTCGAGCTCTTGCTTCGCCAAGGCATCTGCCTCGGGCTAAAGCAGTCAAGGAGTCATTGTGGAGTTCGGGGGGGCTTAGGGTTTAGGGTTCAGGGTTTAGGGCTCAGGGTTCAGGGTTTAGGGGGCTCACCTCGGGGACCAAATAGGTAACTGTCGTAGCGGAGGGTATATGACCCCAATTTTGGGGTTCATGTGGCCCCAAGGCAGGTTTTCATTCTAGAGCTTTGTTTAGATGTAGGAGACTTGGCAGAGTTCGCAAGCTTATGTGGCTGGAAGGTTTCTATATTGGCCTGGAATTGTTTAGAGCCTGCGCACACTCCCGCGATATCACGGCTGATGTGCTCTCGTGTCTCTCACATGAGAAAGAACAATTTAAAGTTAAAGACTTCCCCCAAAACAAACAAAAACCCAAACTTAACTAAAACAAACCTGGCCCCAACAAGATTTTGGAGGTCTGCGGCTCAGCTGCCTTCTCCTTTGCGATGGTGGCAGCTTTTTCTGCGAAGGCGGAAGTGTCAAACATCCACCTGGGCTTTAGCTTAGCTTACCTATCTTCGGCTTGTGATTCTACTCCGCTGAGTCGCGAAAAGCCACCAAATATCCAAGCATCCAAGGTTTCCAGCAGGCACTTAGAGTATGAGGATCCAGGGGAGGAACTTGAAACTGAATCTCCAACGCCATGTTTAGGGCTTACACAAGGCTTGTAGGGTGCGAGGGCATTGAGCTTTCGATACCTAGATGTACCACAGACTTCTGACTGCATCATGTGGTCAACACGCGGCGGGTTGACGGGATCACCGTGCAGCCTGAGTCAGGCTCCGAAGTAGCAGCGCTTGGGTTTAGCGGGTAGTAGGTGGCTTGTCGGTTGATCGGTTGCCTAGCAGAGGCAACCACGATCCCAAAAGTGAGCTGTCCAGACCAAGGGCGTAAAGAATCCTATGACTTCCGGGACTCGACGAGCCTAGGTCTGTAGTCTGTAGGTGCATGTTTAGACCCGGGTGCATAAAGTCTTAGGTTTTTCCCGGAACTTGTTGTGACTCGACGAGGGGCAGAGGCTGTCCAGCAAGCTCGAATCCATTCCCTCCTGCACCCGAAACCTCTACAAATGTTCATGCCCTGCGGGTGAGAACTGATATGTTCTATCAGGGTTACAATGCCCCCGCCCCCCCCCCCCAAGCTTCTATTCTTGCAGGGGTCCGATGGAGTCGCTCCACTGTGGGTTCTCCAACCCACAGCCCTTCAACCCCCCCCAAGTCCTTGATCTCTCTCAACCCCTGAGCCGCCCAAACCCGACATTCCGAAACCTGAAATCCCAAATCCGATGACTCCTCGGACGGCATTTTTCTTCGGACGGCAAGACACTAAACCTTGCCTACCAGGAGGCTCTCGGCTTGAGGGCTCAAGCTGTGTTTTGTGATTTTTTGAGAAGGTGCAGGCTTGGAGCTGTAAAGTTTGACGGCTTTGTGAGCCTAGATATCTCAGCTGCCAAGGGCAGTCCCATCACTACTAGTTGCTTAAGACCCCCCAAGAAAAGAAAAAAAAGATAATAATCCCCGTATTGCCCTAGTATGTTCAATTTTTCTTCAGTCTCTGCGGCTGAAGGACAGACGCGAAGGAAGTACCCGAACTCCACGTCGCCGTGCTCATCGGGGTGCACGATGCTGAGGATGATGTGTATCCTGGGCTTAGACAGAAGGAGCTAGGCCAGCCCCCCACAAGACAACCCCCCCCCCCAACACACTTTCAACCACACTTCATAGAGCCTCAGAAAAAATCCTCGGAACCTTTAGGCCGGGCGGCTGCATCCGCGATAAGCAAAGCTGGTCGGCGCTTAAGAGGACGTTCCTCAAATCCCACACCTGAGAGAGCGTCGGTGATTCCGAAACCTTCTACTCGTATCGCCAAGCCCTCTCATGTCTCAAGGGCAAAGCTAAGCTAAGTCTAGGTAGTAACTCCAGAGACTTTCAGAGCGGAAGGTCTTTGCTTGACATCAATTTCGGGGCACAGGCACCACTACAGGCGCTAATTCCATCTTCGTCCACTCAACAGAACTGAGCGAGCAAAGCGATTCTGTTGGTTTGAGATGGAGCCTTGCTTAGACCTAAGGGCCAATCTCGGCTGGCTTGGTGGCGCCTTAGTCGCACAGGCAATTGCGCATTCAGGAGTAGAACTTTCTTGAAACCACTGGGCGTGTGGAAGTTCACTCCGTAGCGAAACACTCTGAACACTGGACCCGGAGGCCATCTAAAGCACAATACTCTTGGGGCGGGGGTGGGAAGGGGGGGAGTTGGGGAGTTGGGGGGTCGGGTGGGTTCGGGGGCAGTTGATGTGGTCCGCTGCGCAATGATGCAGCTCTAGAAAGAGGCGATGAGCCCTGCAAAGCCAAGGCTTCCACGGGCATGATGTTGTCGGAGGGCAAGCCAAGCCGCCTGCGAGAGCTGATGCTTTTGGGGAAACCTGGGGGGTGGAGGCTAAGCCCCAAACACTCCAAGGTCGCAAGGCTGTAAGGAACTCCCCCCAAAAGAGCCTTTGTGCTACTGATGCTTTTGAGTGCTACTGTCAGGAGCGGACTAAGTTGCCACATGGGGCAACCTGGACCCCGCCTCGCCAAGAGAATCAGATGCATCCTCAGCATTGCAACGTCAGTCCTTGGCGGGCCGCAGTAGTGCTGGGCCCCAAATCCTTTCATCAAAATCAACAACCCTAAGCCCAATCAACAACCCTAAGCCCTGGACCCTGAACCCTGATGTCCGATCCATTCTATCAAACGATCCACGACGAAAGGAGACTCAAAAGCCCGAAGCCTTGTTTCCTTCCGAACTGCGCCAGCCGGGCTTTCTGAAGCCCATAAGCTACTCATGAGTGACTCATGGAATCCTAAGACTCCAGTTGAAGCTCGAATCCCCCCGAGAACAACCCCAAGGGTTTAGGGCTTAGGGCTTTGGGCTTTAGACGACCCCCAAACCCCAGCAAGGGCCTTCCTGATCTGAGGGCTCGGCTCCACTAGCGCGTTGTGCAGGGCATCAATGCGCAGCCTCGAATGTCCCGAAGCCACGCTCCCAAATCGAGCGCGCTGCAACTTTGTTAGAACCAAGCTCATGTCCCCATTTTGGGGGTCCCTTTGAGGGATTCGATTCTATTTGGAAAGACTCTCTGCCCCAAAAAAATCCGAAACCCTCAACCTCGGCTTCGGGAATTTTCTCGAAGGCACATCTCAAAACCCCCGAGCCTCCGCCTCAGAAGGCTCTTTTGGGGTGAGGGCTGGCTTTGGGGCTGGAGGGCTGCTTGGGCCTTGGGGGCGGCTCGGGGTACAGGGTAGCTCGTAGCTCCCTCGGGGCCGCGGGCTTCTGACTTCCCAGCGACCCGAGGTATGAAGCCCTGTGACACCAAGGGTTCGGTTTTTGAAGCCCACGCTCTACCTCTACCTGGCAAGGAAGCTGTAAAGCGTAAACCGTAATGCGGCCGCAACCTTCCTCAACCTGCATAGGGGTGTTCGAATGAGGTATAACTCAGACCTAAAGACTATCCGACAAGCTGACACTCAATCCATACGGGAGTTCCGACAGCTTGAAGAGTTCGACTTTAAATCTTATGGGGGTTTACAAAAATCGGGACCCCCAAAATAAATGCCAAATAGTAGGATCCCCTTATAATGCCGGCCCCAAGAAGGTACCCCCTATTTTCGTAAACCCCCTTATAGTGTCATCAGACTGCTTGGAACCCTAAACCCTAAACCCTAAACCCTAAACCCTAAACCCTAAACCCTAAACCCTAAACCCTAAACCCTAAACCCTAAACCCTAAACCCTACGGGTGATTTGCTTGGAACCCCCACCGCTGCAGCAGCATGGGGAACTCTTCGTAAAGCACCTGGGAGCTGCGAAGGGCAGCTGCCAAGGTTGACGAGTGTGGTGCGCACCCTATACCCGAAGCCCTAATCCCAAACCCTACGTAGGTTGAAGGTTTGGCACAGTTACAGATTTGCTGTGCGTAGGTCTGGTTGGTTTCAAGAGGGAGCCGAAGGAACCACCCAGACTCCTGTTACCTGATTCAGAGAAGCGCTACATTCCCAGCCTCCAGATATTTGCGGAGAGGATCATCGTATCTGAAACATTGGAGCGCTTCCGCAAACCCATTGCTAGGCATAGGGGGCCCTGAGGCCCGCCTTCCCTCAAAAGAAAACCTAAGCCGCGACGAACCCCTAAACTCCAAACCCTAAACCCCAAAGCCCGGAGCATGAAAAACATACGGGACGCAAGGCTTGCCCCGGAGCATATGTGGGAGCACGACCAGGGGTGTCAGGGTTGAACATCGGATCAGCTCCTCTCATCCTTGTCTTTGCACCGAAGCCTCTTGCAAGGCGTTCGACTTTCTGCCCCGGATTTTGCTTGGTCTTTTTTGGTGATCTTTCAAAGAGGAACATTCTCAAAGGAGACGTCCTAAACGTGCGGACTAGTGCCTTAAACGGAGCTCCCCCCCCCTCTCAACGTGGAATTATGAGGATGGCACGTTTCCCTGCTCATCTTCGCGGCACATCTGCATCAGCATCTGCACCTGGTGAGGATCACTCTCGCATGTGGCTATGTGGCCCATCCCAACAGCTCTCCACTCCAAAAGCAACACGTTTCGAGCCTCATCCCCTAGACCCAGGAATAACCTAGCAATAAAAGGGTGCCCAGTCTGGCTTCAAGGCGCTTACAATAACCTAGACCTTCAAACACAAAGGAAGAAGGGCCTACTTTGGGCTCTTAGTACCCAGTCCTGACGCCGGCTCCAGGCCCTGAAGCCCAAACCCGTGCGCACCGAAACTGGAAGCTCAGGATCTGCAATGCTGTGTCCCTCTCCTGACTTATGGTTTCTCTTGGCAGAACCGCCACATACACCGAAACTCCTCAGCCACCCCTGCCAAACAGCAGCTGCTGCTCTTTAGGGTTTAGGGATTTAAGTTTTAAGGGTGCATGAGCTTCCTGTCTAGGCTTCCTTCCTCTTCAACCCCAGCCCTGAGCCCTGAGCCCCAAGCCCTAATTGGTGGAAGCCTACCGAGAAAGCACCTCCTGGAGTGAGAGGCGCTCCAGCTTAGACATCAGGCATGAGCGAAACCTCGGGGAGGCATGGAAAGCTTTGGAACAATGGGGGGCTTCAGGGGTACCCTAGGCTTAAATCCTCAACCCCAAACACCAACCCCTGGCGTGTTCAGGGGTTTAGGAGTTTAGGGTTTTGGGGTTTAGGGTTAGCTGAAGAAAAAAGGGGGCTTTTCGGGCTCTTAGAACTCCTTGCTTCTTCAAGCCTTTCGGCCCTTTAGAGCGCTCTAACAAGGCTTTCTTTTTACGTTGGTTTTGGCCTTCCGGATTTGGGCTTGGCGTTTGGGGTGTTCAGATTCAGGGTTTTCGGGTAGTGTCCTCTGTGTCCTTGTCTGGATGGCATCTGCGTCTGCGAGGGGTGTGGGGGGTCATACACAAGCGACGCTAGCAGACGCTGACATCAACGATTCTGAGACCGGCTTCTATATTGCCGAAGCCTTCTTCCCCCACAAACATTCCAGTAAGCCCTAAAAGGCCCCATCACGACTACAACCTTGGGATGCTCCCCCCTTGTACGAGCAGTCCTTAAAAGGGATTCCAATAGGGGGGCACTATAATCCCGATTAAGGACTGTTAGTACAAGGGGGAACATACCTTACCACTAGCCCCCAAAAGCCAGGGGCAGGGCTCATGCCGGGTGAGAGTGCCTTGACCCGCAGGGTCCACTTGTCCAAAGGCCTCCAAGTTTTTTGAGCTGCCAGGACTTCTCCAGTTTAACCCTCATGAACTACTATTTGCTTAAGAATCCCCAACCCCCCCCCCAAAAAAAAACACACACACACACACACATTCTTCCTTGTAAGGGCAGTCTCGGGATTAGTATCTTGTTCATAGGCAAACAGTAGTGAAACTGCCACGCGCAAGGGGCAGCAGATAGCATCCGCGTCCAGCGCGGGAGTGGAGGCGTTTGTGTTTATGGGTCTGGCCCTCCCTCTCATTTGCAGCGCCTGGGGCCTTTTTTTGCACTTCCAGCTCCTGGGCTGTTCACCAGCAAGAATACTGCGATTGCTAGGATTTGGTGAGACGGCTGAAGTACAGAGATAGGGTGATTTGCACTTTTGGCACGTCTTTTAAAGTAAGAGGGTGTTGACCGGCAGTTCCCACGGCTCGGCAGGAACTTTTTTGGGCCGTCCTTCGGCCCGAGACTGTACGGATGTGGTCACGTGTTCGCCGGCGCCACTATGTGCGTATGACCCACCTGTGGGTGAATGTGAAGGATAGCGAGTGGGGAGCCGGGTGATTCCGGATGCCAGGCAGGGGTTTTCTGTTCTGTGGCTGGGATTGCGCGGCCCACGAAGATGCGCGACCGTTTTGCTGAACATACCCCTGCCCTGAGCAGATCATATCTCTTCGGAGATGCGACGCGGGTCATGGCGGCCCGAGACCAGAAGACCAAGGGACCATGGGACCACAATGGACCCAAGAACCTCCAGGCTTGCCAAACCTAAGAAAAGGGACAAGGAAGAGCGAGACCTTGGAACGAAAAGCACCTGACCCCACCTTCAGCCCTGCGATATAACATGGCTTCCTGTATCACCATATCCAGTATCAACCCTCGAAAAAAGTTGATTGTGGCTCACACGGGTCTCTGCAGGATTGTCTTTGGGCACGCAGGCATTGGAGTTTCGAGGTCCAACGGGAATCTGAATCCTAGGGCTGTGGAGCTGCGTGTGGAAACCTTGTTAACTTCAAAGTTACCGTTCCTTTGGGAAGTTCCCTTGTGAGGATCTCTGGTGCAGGGTTTGGGGCAGAATCCTGCAGCGTGCGTTTCCTGTGGTTCGGTCCCTCTACTTGGGCCCCCCAAAATGCCTACACTGCAAAAAGCAAACAAGCTAACGCAAGTTCCAAAGGGGCCGCCGGCAGATGCTGAACTCCTAAGGCGCATTCCCTCAGTCGCCATCACACTTAGCAGACTTAGCATCCCCGGAAGCTCCCCAAATAGCGGAGCGCTTGGGCGTAGGGCTTGGGGTTTAGGGGTTTGGGGTTTTGGGGCTCTAGGGTTTTGTTTGCAGAATGTTGTTGGGGTATTTGGCAGGGACGTTTTTCGGATTTTCGGACCCCCTCTTCCCAACCTCCCGCATGGTTCTCGCGACTTCTTCAATCTCTTCCCCGAAGCAGAGCTCAATCGCCTCAAGCTTCGGGGAGCTTCGAAGTTGAGAGTTTAGGGTTTAGGGTTCAGAGTTTCAGGGTTTCAGGTCGTTTTGTGAGATGCTTCGAGGGCGTAGGGCTTCGTGGCTCTGACAAGAGATCGGGGAGGAGCTTCGGCTCTCCGTGGGGCTGTGCGTGGACTTACAGGCATGAGAAGACATACTTCGAGAACCCAAGGCCGTAAAAGATTACTGGCATCCCCGGAAATTCTGACATTCTCGGACAGAGTCCTAGTTGTCCAGTAACCTGGGGGAACTAAAGGTTAAGTTTTGGGATTAGAAGGGGATTATACCAGGGAGTTGAGAAGGCCCGAAGACTTGGGCAACGTCGACGAAGCTGAACACCGGTGCTTGGCGTCTTCAGCGAGGCTTCTCCCAACCATGATGGGTTTAGGGTTTAGGGTTTGGGGTTTAGGGTTTAGGGTTTAGGGTTTAGGGTTTAGGGGCAAAGGATTAGGAATTCATGGAGTGCTTTTCAACTACAGTGGGGTGTTGCTGTTCCGAAGGCCTGGGCATCGGGCGCAGGGTATGCGGTTCAGGTTTTCTCTTTCGAGTGAACATGCTCAGCCCTTGTAGCAGTTGCTTTATGGCACTCCAGGTGGCGTTGGTCTTTTATGTCTTTTATGTTGCCAGTGTGCGATCTCAAAAAATGCCCTCGTTGACTGTGCCAAGCTCTCCAAACAGCCGAATCTCCATAGTCCAAAGCGCGATTAAGGGTTTAGGGTCAGGTTTGGGGGGTGTATTTGTGGGGGCGCTTTACGGTTTGGGAGCAAGTCCCAAATTTCCATCCGCCTCCATTGTCACTGGCGACTCTTCTGACCTGAGTCACGCACGGTTCAAAGCAGGGGTCAATCTAAACCCTAAACCCTAAACCCCAACCCCCTTTTGCAGTAACACTGATGCCCTGCACTCTTGGAAGAATTGGGTTTCGCAACAGCATCAGCTGATTCTGCGAGTTCTTCCTTCGCATAGCAAACCTCGTCCCGTCTTTCATAGGAAACTTCGTTTCCGTCTTTCAAAGCCCACTCTGAATCCTTAAGGCTTCCTACAAGTCTGAGCCCCACAGTGCAGGCTGACTCCTTTCTCTCCACGGATCCTGTGCTGAAATCGGGCTCCTCCGGTTGGTGGGCGCCAGGGCGTCGATCGCGTGCCAGGGTTTGGGGCTCCACTCGGCACCGCTTTCCAGACCACGTTAAATCAAGCCCTCTGGCACCGAAGCCCATTCTTTTCATGCATTTCCTGCATTCAATTCCTGCGAATACTGGATTCCTGCGGCCAAGCCTGCTCGCCCCATAACCTCGAAACTCCTGACCAGCTCAGCCCACTGCTGACCCCTAGGCTCCCGATGAGAAAAAATCCGAACTTCCTGGCAGCCTTTGAAGACACTTACTACAGGGGTCGGAATTGTGGAGTTTGAGGATATGCAGGTCAAAGACCCCTTAGGGGCTGAATACCCCAGCCCCCAAAAAGGTTAACCCTTTTTTTTCTAGTAGGAAAAGGTTTACCCAGCCCCTACGACTCGAAGGCTCGGATTTTTGAGGCCCAGCAGCACCCTCCAAATTTTTGCACCCTGTCGCCCTTGGCTTTCTCAAGTGCCTTCGGCCCCCCAACGGCAAAAAATAATGCTGCGGTTTAGGGTTTCGGGTTTTAGGGTTTACATCGGATTTAGGCTTTAGGGTCTCTGGTCATGACACAACATGGCACTACCTTCATCCTGACAACCCGACTTGGAGATTCCTGGTACTTATTAACCAATCATGACTGTACTTACAACCCACTTATAAGCCCCTTAAGTGCCCCAATGTGGCTATAAGTACAGTTAGAAGTACAGTTAGAATTTCGTTTACTAAAAAACCCCAAAGCCGCCCGGAGCTTCCTAAAAAGAACCCAAGCCCGCGCCAAAGCCCCGAAGACTGAGAGACTCGACTTCGCTTTATATCTCAGACAAAGCCTCACGGAACTCCTGAAAAATCAGGGGTTTAGGGTTTAAAGGGCTTAAAGGGCTTAAAGGGCTTTAAAAGGGCTTAAAGGGCTTAAAGGGCTTTAAAGGGCTTAAAGGGCTTAAAGGGCTTAAAGGGCTTAGGGCCTGCAAGAGGGGCTTTTTTTGAGAACTTCTTGGGGCGCCCACGCGGTCCGCCGCTTCTCCTCATAGGCCGCCCTGCGCTGGCGGAGCGCGCCGATGATCTCCGGAGCGGCCTGCGCGGTGCTGCGATAGACAGGGATGTAAAGAGCCCTTAGGGAGTTTAGGGTTTAGGGTTTAGGGTTTAGGGTTTAGGGTTTAGGGTTTAGGGTTTAGGATGGCCCTTGGGATGTTCCCCCTTATACCAACAGCCCTGAATAGGTTGGAATTCCGATAAAGGGCTGT